GCATACACTTAATATTCACAGCTTTGGTGACATCACTGATGGTATGAAATTTATATCTTGTGGTTACGCAATGGGTTTGATGTTCTTTCTATGCTTGCGTGTCAATGCTTTAGCTGTAACCTACCAAATGTTTTGCAGAAATTACAAATAACCTCCAAAGATGGCCAAAAGTATGGTCAAAGAGGCAGGTCTTGAGACAGAGCTTGGAGGAGGTGCAGGAATGGGATGAGGCGAAGGGAGTTCTAGCGAGTGGGGCAGAGATGGGAAGCAATTGGTGGAAAGAGAACATCTTGGACTAGTAGTTGAATTTGTCTTGAGGAGAAAGGAAGGGCCATGAATTTAACCTTTGACTTAAAACAAAGCCAACTTTGAAGGGATGAGCATGGAACAAGCTAAAGTAAAATGGGAGCATTTGATAGTTACAACTAACACACAGTGGAATCTATTCAAAAAGGTAATTGTAATTTTGTTGTCGTTGTTGTAGCACATTATATAAATAGGAATGCACCCATGAAAGCAAAGATCGTGCTTCCAAGTCCCGTTGTATGTAAATGGTGAAGTGTTAGATGGTTTTTCGAGTGATATTGTGAAGTGGATTTCTGTTATGTTCAGAGATTTACATTGGCTGCACATGCTAACAAGTCAGAAAAACAGCTAAGTATTGAGGATTTAGAAAATACCACAGCAACAAGATATTACTCAGCTAAACAGCTTGTTTCCCCTATCAAAGGAGTCAAGAAGATAACAGCAAGTTACGGGCAGACATTATGTTTGGGGAGCTGCACATGCTCAAAAGATTTTTTAAAAAATCATAGATGTCTTCTGTAAAGCAGGTATTTTGTTTAAACGGCCAAATTACTGAGACCTTTACTCCACTGGTACTGAATCATTAACATTAAGTGTGACCTGGATTGAAAATAATGCATACTTTTAAAAATTGTACAGCACAACATTTCTGCAAATTGCTGGTGGTAGAATATGAAGCCCTCTTGGTGGAAAAAATTAATAGGTTTGTAGGGATTCTCCAATGGATCCTCTAGTCCAACCCTAGAGAATACATGTTGGGGATTGAGTAGACATCCATACCAGGCGAGGCACAATCAACTAATGGAAAATCTCATGATAACTAGACCTCCTTTGAGGCTGCTGGGGCATTCACCCTACTTTTCTTTTGTTTAATCAAAATATATATATTTATTTGTTGCTATATATTTACGCTTGTCCCAGATATTATCAAACCTGTTACAAAAAAGAAGACGCAACATGTTATTATCCTGTTACAGAATGCAACAGACCCGGCCCCTTGTGACGGAGGGCTTGCCTCTGCGCACTCCACTTTGGTGAAGGGACCAAGGCTTCCCTGCAGTTGCAAATGAGGTCTTGTAACCCTTCCCTATCCCTCCCCTTTTAGTGGGGAGTGTGGACAGATTCACAGCACACAGGTTGTGCACACATTTTTTTCGGACGCACCCTTAAAGACAGTCATGAATTGCCCGTGTGCACTGCCCGCACACCCTGATAAGACGCACTTACTGCTTTCGGATGGCGTCCCGATGTGCACAGTACACAACATGTTTACCCAAACACACGTCTGGAAACCTCACAAACCCATACACGAGTCCCACCCATCATCTTCTGGGGTTCTGTTCCCTTTTTCTACAGGGAGCAGTTACATGGTTGGGCTAGTCCAGGCTTTGCCATCATTTTACCGGACGGTGAGCCTTTACCTCACTCCCAGTCACTCCCCCTTTTATGGGGGGAGGCAGACATACTACATTTATGGGACGCTCATTTGTTTACATCTCGAGCGTCCCTCTATACATTTACATGGTCCCAGATGTTTATTCACAGTTTTGGGTGCCCTTGTGAATGCACCCTGATGTCTCCTTCTCACTGGTAGGGACCCCGGCGTGGGGGATGTGATGCCACTGTGGGGGCAGCTAGCACAGGAGTGGCCCTGGCTGGGGTCAAGCATGTCCCTCAGTATGTAGTCCTTGATCCTAGTGTGCGTGAGCCTGAGGCAGGCCCTCTCCGTCCCTCGTTCTGCCTGAAGACCACCAGGTTTCGGGAGTGCCAAAGTGCCTCCTTTACAGAGTTGATAATCCTCCAGGCACACTTGCTGTGGATTTTGCTGGTGCCCAGGAAGAGGCTGAGGGCAGCGCTGACTGGCCCAGACCTCAACTATGCATGAAAGCCATGAGGGGAAGGCCCTTTTTATCACCAACCAACCTGATGGTTGTTGGTCAGGGCCGGTGACGAGGCATTCTGCCACATGTCACCACAGTCACCACAGGATAACTCCTGATCGGGTTGGCCCTCTCCCCCTTACTGTTTCAACTACTTGCCGCGTGGATCACTCGGTGATTGCGTGGGGGTCTGGAATGGTGTTCTTCATAAATTTCTCTACACATGATAGGTGTTTTGCCACACTCCAACTGCGAGGAACGTTTTGAGGCAGTCCTGCCAGACACGCCCTTCTCAGCACCAGGTACAGGTAGAAGCCCAGCACATAGTGGCATTTGTTGCTGGCGTAGAGGGGCTCTAGGCACAGCCTCAGGCAGCCACACACAAAGGTGGCCATGAGGATCAGGGCTACGTTAGGGACATCTTCCCCCCTGTGCTCCTTGCTAGTACTGTTTAATTTTTTCTACTGTTCCTGGTCCTTTTAACTTCTTTAGGGTGAAAGATGTCAGTACTGATAGCTGCCATTAACTGCCAGCAAATATATTTTTTTGTGTATCCTCTGTGAAGTCAGTCTGGAGATAGCAAATAACTCTCTGCCACCCAGCATGGATTCTTTTTTGTTGATCTGTTTTTAAGTAATGTAATCTAGTGTTCTGGACTTCTCAAAAAAAAAAGTTAATGTTATTTGTTTAAGGTTGGGTCAGTGCAGGATCTCATTTCAACCCCAATAAAAAAACAGTTTTGCTACAAGGTGTACTACAAGAAAGCAACATGTGAGTATTGGATTTTAATGTGCTTTCGATCTCGCTGCTTCACCCGTCCTTCACCCTCCCTGAACCCCAGTTCAGGTCCGTAACTCTTGTCCAGTTCTTTGGGACATCCTCCCAACGTGAAAGGCGCTATTCAAATGTAATTTTGTTATTGTTGTAATGTTAATAAAAAGAATAAAAAGTCCTTGAATATTTTTTAACAATGATTCCAGACACAAAACATTTTTTATTCTCTGTAGCCCTCAAGGTGACCTTGGGAACATTGATGTTAATGAAGATGGTTTGGCCAAGTTTGAATTTAATGCTTGCAATTTCAGCCTGTCAGGAATTAATTCTGTTATTGGACGCTCTCTGGTGGTAAGAATCATTACTTCAGGATATGTGTACCCCCACTTTTGTGTGCTCTTCTGAGCAAACTTTTCTGGGCATTGGAAAATGTTCTCTAATATACAAAAATAAACATCTAAAATACATTTTAATTGAGATGCATTTAAAACTGCAAATAGTGGTTACTGTTTCCTCTATATTCTTCTTCTCATTTTTGTAAAACTTTCATTTAACAGTTTTTGAAGTTAATTTATTCATCACTTGGTAGCCAGGTCCTGTTAATCTTTATCATATAATTTTAAATAATTCCATACCAATAGCAGAACTGGGTAATGGCATGTCTTTCCTTTTTAAAGATTCACAAGATTGAAGATGACCCAGCTAAAGCCTCAAATGAGAAGTACAAAACTGGAAATTTCAGCACAAGTTTAGCTTGGGGAGTGATTGGAATTTGTCAGAACAATATTTCACAGGAAGACTAAGTGAAAAAAATCCAACCAAACAGTGATACTGATTGTAATGATGTCTGTAATATCATTTGAGTTTTCCTCATGACATGCTAAATGTCATTTATTTATGTTAAATATTCTTCCACATCTCAGCTTCACTCTTTTGCACACAGTTACACAACGAACAGTTTTTCTAAAATGTTTCTGCATAAACACCAGTGATTATTTTTGTGTACTGAATATATTCATTCATAACTATTCAACTTTTCTTTCTTTCTATTTGGTGTACAAAAAAGGTTTGAACCAATAAAATTGTAATATTATTTGAACAGCCTTTCAATGCATTAATAAGTAAGTATTAGCTGCAGAACAGAACTGCAGAGAGAGAACAGAACTGCAGAGATCTATGGCAGAATATAATTATTTGAGCTCCCCTAACTGTTAAACAGCTCATAATATTTGTGAATGTGGTCAGTTTGAGAAAACGTCTGAATTATATCACTGATGTTTGCTTCTATTAAAACCACATGGTAGAAGCATTTAAAACGTATTTCATTTTTATATTGCATAACTTTTATTAAATTGGATATTTTTTGGTTTAACCCACCTGGTCACGGCATGCTTCCTTTCTTCTGAGGACAGCAACAGCAAACAACATTTGTATAGCGCCTCTCACTTTGGAGACCGTCCCAAGACGCCGGACAGTTAAGGGTTTGACCCAAGGTGGGGGATGGATTCCAGAGGGTGGGGGCCGAGGGGGCGGGAAAATTACCAAAGGTGTGTTCAAAGAGGAAGGTCTTGATAGGGACCTTGAAGGAGGTGCGGGAAGGAGGGAGGTGAGGGAGGGAGGGTGGGGTTCCAGAGTGGGAGCAGAAAGGGTGAAGGCTCGACTGCCAATGATGGGGCGGGCAAGGCGGGGGATACGAAGCCGGCAAAGCATTTGCGGAGCGCCGGGAGCAGGCGGGTTGGTAAGATTTTAGAAAGTCGCAGAGAGATAGGGTGGGGGCAAGACCATGGAGGGCTTTAGAAGTGAGGACAATTGAACTGATGGGAAGCCAGTGGAGCAGGGCAAGGATGGGTTGGGGGTGGTGGTGTGGGGGGGGGGGGTGGGCATCGAGTCCCATCAGGTACACACACCTACTGTGCAGGTACAGGTAATCTGCATCTGCAAAAAAGCGTGTGCGTGGCGGCGTGTGAATTTGCAGAGACCGCGTGAGATGTGACTGACAAAGCCATTGGCGGTGTTGGGGAGTGAGATGACGTAGTGGGGGGTGTGGGGTGTGAGGGGGACATGGTGGTGAAGGCGGTTTGTGTGCTGAAGGACGAAAGCCATTTCCAACGCCAGTTCCCTCCCGGCGCTGGAGACACAACTCCCGGTGTTGCTGGAGTCGTCCAGTTTGAATGGCAGGTGTGTGAGTGAGTGAGTGAGTGAGTGTGTGTGTGTGTGTGTGTGTGTGAGTGAGTGTGTGAGTGAGTGTGTGTGAGTGTGTGAGTGAGTGTGTGAGTGAGTGAGTGTGTGTGAGTGAGTGAGTGAGTGGGGGTTGTGTTGCCACTGAGTGTTTAGTTGGGATGGATGTGCTGTGTGAGCGTCACTCCCCCCCCACTCCCCCCCCCCCCACTAACTGACTCCAGATTTAAACCGCCGGGGGTTCTGCTGTGTGTCAGCGGTCACGGTGACCCCTCTCCTCTCCTCTCTCTCTCTCTCTCTCTCTCTCTGGGGTTTGCAAACCTGCAATTAAATGGCTCAATTTTTAACTCCGGTCTCCGTGGGGCGGGGAGGGGGTTTCTCTCGAAAAATAAATCCTTTTTTTTTGAATGACTCCATTTTAACGACGGCTCTGTCGCATTATTCGAATAACCGTTTTTTTTTTTGGGGGGGGGGGTGGGGGGGGGGTCGACAGAGCAGAACCCACACCGCTTCTTCTGGCTAAGATTTCTCCTTATTGAGCAGGAATTACCAGAACATGTTCAGGTTTGTTCCCACACAACTCCCCGGTCCCTTCTCCTCACTGGAAACCATTGACCACTCCCCACTGACTCTGACAAACCTCCCTTTTTTTGCCCCTCTCTCCCCCTTCACACACACACACACAGGTCCACATAAACTATCCAGTTGTTGCCCATCGCCATGTTCTGCTTTCCTCTCCCAGGTGCTGAAGCATGTCTGCCTGTCAATTCACTCTTTCCTCTCCCAACGCTCCCAGTGTGAATTCCTTCAGTCAAGCTTCCACCCACCCACAGCACTGAGAGGTTTGGTCAAAATGGCATCCTCCCTGTCCGTAAGCGGTAGTCAGAGCGCTCCTCGCTCTTTCTGCTGCCTTTGACACTCATCCTCCATATAAAGATAAAAGTTCACCCCTAACCTTGATGTTTGCCGACCTGTGTCTAAGACTCACGAGTCAGACATCCAATTTGACCAAAACAAATGTCCACCAATGTTTCTAGCACATTCGCTGCTTGGCAACTTATAACATGATTGAAATCTAAATTTAACGCATTATTATCACTCCATTCTTAGCTCTTGGGAATGTCGTCCGCAGACATGGGGTACACACCCAACTCTTATTTTTCCACCTCACTTTGTGACCCCCCAGTCCCCTGATGTTCTGTCAGTCTGCCTGTCAGACCTCAGGGGTTGGATAAGCGTGAATTTCCTTCAGCTGAACGTTGACAAGACGGAAGCCATACTCTTTGGCTCTCGTCAATGTCTTAAATCACATGGTTCTCACCTCCTCCACCTATCCGACCTCCCACTAAAACTCTCTGAATCCGTACTCAACCTAGGGGTCAGGTTCGACCCCCAATTGTCCTTCCTCCCCCCCCATCTGGTCCCTCAACAGCACCGCTTTCTTCCACCTCCGATGCATCGCCCGTCTCCGCCAATACCTCACCCCAAAAGCCGCCGAAATCCTGGTCCATGCCTTTGTCACCTCTCGGCTGGACTATTCAAATGCCCTCCTCGCCGGTCTCCCCTCCACTACCATTCATAAAATCCAGGTCATAATAATAATAATAATAATCCTTGCATTTGATATAGCGCTTTTCACGTCGGGAGGACGTCCCAAAGCGCTTCACAGAACACACTGTAAAGTGAATTGACTGTATATTTGTGGGCGAACGCGGCAGCCAATTGCGCACAGCAATGTCCCACAAACAGTCGTAGATTGAAAATGACCAATTTTATTATTGTTTTTTTTTTGTTTTTTTGGAGGGATTATTATTAGGCGTGTGGAGTAAGGAAACTTGCCCAAGGTTTCGCCCTGCCTGGAATTGAACTCAGGTCTCTCGCTTGCAAAGCGAGTGCTCTAACCATTGAGCTACAGGACTCATACAAAACTCTGCCGCCTGCATTCTTACCCACACCAAACTCCGCTCCCCGATTACCCCAGTCCTTGCCAGACTGCACTGGCTGCCTGTCCCAGAGAGGATCGATTTTAAGATCCTCACTCTTGCCTTCAAATCCCTCCACTCCTCTGCACGGCCCTACCTCTCTGATCTCCTCTCCCCACACAGCAGTGCATGTTGCCTTCGCTCCACCAGGTCTGACCTCCTCTTTGTCCCCCGAATCCTCCACTCCACCATCGGCGGCCGGGTCTTCAGCCACTACGCCCTGAGACTCTGGAACTCCGTTCCTCACTCCCTTCGCCTCACCCCCTTTCTCCCTACTTTCAAGTCTCGGCTGAAGACCTTTCTTTTCAACCGCGCTTTTGGTCACCTTCTTCCCCCTCCCCCTGGCTCGGCCCCAGGATCCGTTACTGTGAAGCTCTCTGAGACGCCGTCCGGCGTGGAGGGCGCTATATGAATCCAAGTTGTTGTTTTGACTAGTTTTCTAAATGAAAATTAAATATGTTCATGGAGAATTAACTTTATAATGTATGGTGCTAACTCAAAAGAACACCATATCTAACCACTTCTACGAGGCCACTTCTGTATGAAACTATTATCTTGCAGGAAAATGAGCCAGTGTTAATAAAAGGAAACATTTCTGGATTAGCTCCTGGAAAGCATGGGCTTCATGTTTGCACCTTTGGAAACCTTTTAAATGGTATGTAATATACACCTGTTTCATAAAAATATTCCATTACTATCTTACTGTCAATTTCAGTTCATTCCTGATTTTTCAATTTCCTAAGACAAATTGGTTTAGTTAGCATTGCATTTAGAGTAATAAGATATGCAAAAAAGTTTCATTTTCTCCTTTGAGTGCTCCACATTTTAAGTTCTCTGATAAATGCAGGATGTCATCACATTTCCATCGCCTTGGGATGTGCTGCCGACGTGAAAAGCTCTATACCCATGTGATTTTGTACTGTATTGTAACAGTTTAAGATGGGAATTTTTCAGTGGGAAAAGCAGCAGGCAGCTCTTGTAGTGTTTTTTTTAACCAGGATGACTATGGTAAGTAATTTGACATTTTAAATTTAGCTTACCTCAAAATAGACTCCAAGTCATATTCACTCCCAAGGCAGTAAATGGTCTAATTCCACCTGGAGCACTGTCTGCAATCCCTGTCATTGTATTAGAGTAAAAGATATCTTAATATTAGAGGAAATACACTGAGAAGCAAGTAGATTAATAGCTGTGTGTGGGCATAAATTATTGGGAGAATCTAGATAGAAGCGAAGACTCAGGGAGATCTTATTGAAATATTCAAGATCCAAAAGGCCATTTTTTAAAAAATCTTTGTGGCCAGCCAGATAATAATAATAATCCTTGCATTTGATATAGCACTTTTCACATCTTCTAGATATCTCAAAGCATTTCACAGAATAAACTGTAAAGTCAATTGACTGTATATTTGTGGATGAAACATGCACAGCAGTGTCCCACAAACAGTCGTGGATTGAAGTGACCAATTTTATTATTTTTTTTCTTGAGGGTTTATTATCAGTCATGTGGAGTAAGGAAACTTGCCCAAAGTTTTGCTTGTGAGGCGAGTGCTCTAACCACTGAGCTACAGGTCTTCCACAGATACAAAAGATAGTCTTTTCCTACACATTATTTATGTAATTTTGGTAAACAAAAGAATGGCTAGCCCTTTGTGTTGGACAAACCAGATGCTTAATGTCTTATTTCTCTTCGGAAACTTCTTTGTTGTTTTCCTGAATGCAAAGGAAATATTTCATAATATAATTGTTTCCAGGTCACTTCAGTTTAGGATCACATTTCAATCCATATGAGAAAAAACACGGAGGACCAGAAGATGAAGAAAGGTGAGTTTTGGATGTATAGATGGTCCAAGTAGGAACCATCATAAAAATAACAACAACAAACAACAACAACTTGGATTTATATGGCGGCCTTCACTCGGGGCATCATGGGGTAATGTCTTGGAGTGCTTAATAGTTGTGGAGTTTGACGGTAGGCCAGTTTGAGAAGGGGGTAACTATAGGCACGATGGAAGAGGAAAGTCTTTAGGTGTCATCTGGAGATGGATAAAGAGGGAGCAAGTGAAGGGATTGAGAAAAAAATAACCTTTTTGTTAATTAAAGTTGTGACCCAACATTAGAAATATAGTCAATCAATTGCCAGTTCTTGCCAGGCTCCACTGGCTTACAACCACTGAATGGTTTGATTTCAAGATCCTCACAAATGTCTTCAAATCCTTTCATGCCCTGACACCTTCCTACCTCGCCTACCTGCTTATTCCCCAATCTGTTGCCTTGGCTAGAATGCCTCTGTCCTCCTGCTTGCCCTACTATTGTACGGCTCTGAGATGCTACCCTGCATGAGGGGCACTATATAAATGCAAGTTATTGTTGAATTATGTCGACCATTTTTTAGTCTGCCAGGCTTTTACGCCTTGACAAGCGAGACATCTGGGTTCAATTCCAGGCAGGGCTAAACCTTGGGCAAGTTTCCTTACACCACACGCCTAATAATAATCCCTCCAAAACAAAAAAAATAATAAATTGGTCATTTTCAATCCACGACTGTTTGTGGGACACTGCTGTGTGCAATTGGCTGCCACCTTTCGCCCACAAATATACAGTTAATTCACTTTATAGCATATTCTGTGAAGTGTTTTGAGACATCTAGAAGATGTGAAAAGCGCGATATAAAATGCAAGGATTATTATTATTATATTTTATAGAACCCCAGAGCCAAAATATTTTGGAATTTAAAGTGTTACAAAATGTTACTTCCTGATGTAATGATATATTTCTATAAATTTAGACATTTGGGTGCCAGTTAGACAGAAATTGGATATTTTAATATTTAGTTCACTCCCACTGGTACTGATATCTGGTTAAACCTCAGTAGCAGGTCTTATTGGTGTCCTGCAGCTCAGTGGTTAGAGCATTCGCCCCGCAAGTGAGAGGACCTCGGTTCGACTCCCAGGCAGGGCAAAAAGTTGCGCAAGTTTTGTTACTCCACACACCTCTGTTTACCTTGCAGTACGTAGGTATCCGATCGTTTGTCAATTGCGGATCAATTTTCTGGGGGTAATATTCATTTAAAAAAAGAATAATAATTTGTCAGTCAATATACGACCTTTTGTGGGACACTGTTGTGCGCAATTGGGTCCCGGGTTTCACCCATAAAATATACAGTCAATTCACTTTACAGTATATTCTGTGAAGTGCTTTGAGATGGCTCGAAGACATGATAAGGCAATATATCAAATACAATTATTATTATTATATATTTGCTACAATTTTACTATGTAATAAAACATTCAACAAGTAAACTTTGGTGTCTTATTATTTTTAATCTGCTGTAGGCACGTAGGAGACCTGGGAAATGTGATAGCTAACAAAGAAGGTGTGGCAGAGTTTCAAATACAAGATCGACTTCTCCAACTTTCCGGAGTTTTGTCCATTATTGGACGTTCTCTGGTGGTAGGTACTAAAAGTCTGCCATTTGCTCAGTAACAACAATGGTAGCGTATTGTACTTTCAACTGCAGGATACTGCAGTTCAAATTGTGTGGAACTGCGTAGATTCTAGAAATTGCTGGGGTACTGAGGGGTTGTCTAATGCCCCTGTGATCAGTATTGAGATTTGTTCCTCCTGGCTGTTCTTTTAAACATTATTTAAAACATCTTTTAAATAATGGAAATACAAATTATTAATATAATAAATAATTGTAAATAATGTCAAATACAAATTTGACCTACTAGAATAATTCTGTTTTAATTTTAATTAACTATATTAATATATGTGCTTGTGTAAAGATAGAAGACTATCAAGTAAATGATGAATACAAATGTCTAGATCACTGACACTGTTTTACTTTGTAAAGATTGAGGAAAAAGAAGATGACTTGGGAAAAGCTGGAAATGAAGAAAGCCTTCTAACAGGGAATTCTGGAAAAGGTTTAGCCTGTGGAGTGATTGGTATAGCTGATGTTGTTATGAATTTAACTTGAGACTGATTATAATGTTTCTAAACTTAAGTATACAAATAGTTTTATATCAGTAAACAACATTTTCAAATTAGTTTAAACATTACCAATTTATATCAAATTGGCCTTCTATGCATTTAATATTCTGTTTCCGTTTATTTTGAAAATGTTCTTCATACAACATTCTTCATTGTATTTGTAACCTTGACACCTTCATTTAACTTTTCCGGTTAATATATTTGGGAACTACTAATGAAATTGGATAGTTACTGATCTTGAATATATAATTTTTAAATTATATAACAAATAATGAAATACAAAAGGGAAATAAAGGTGTAATTACAATAAACCTTTGTTAATAGGTGTTTTGATTCCTACAGAACGATAAAGAGATTTTTAAAATATACACCATTTTATGCATCAAATTTTTTTTTGTATCATTAATTACTATGTAGAAACCTTTAACTTAGCTGAATAAGGAGTTGTAAGTTCCCATAGCAAGGTCAGTACTTGGGTTAGTACATATAACAGTCCACTTATATCAAGCACATCATTTTACCTTTAGTCATCAGTCATCATCACCTGGAGAAAAGTTGGCATAAATGGAAATAAGGTGACTTTGAAACACAAGGACTTAATCAATTCTTTTGATTCAAAGTGGTGGACCAACACAACCACTGCTCAGAATCTATTTAAGTCATGAAATGGGGAATATGATGTGGACTCTGCTTTTCCTCATTAACCAAATTGCCTATTTTGAAGAACATCTTGCACTTATATAGCGCCCTCCATGTAAGGTATCGTTTCAGAGCGCTTAACAGTGGTGGAGCCTGACTCCGAGCTGGGGGAGAGGGGGCGGGGGGAGGTGACTGTAAGCATGGTGGAAAAGGAAGATTTTCAGGTGGGACTTGAAAAAGAGGAGAGAGGTGGCAAGGCGAAGGGATTGAGGGAGAGTGTTCCAGAGTTTCGGGGTGTAGTGGCTTAATGTGTGACCTCCAATGGTGAAGTGGTGGCGAGCAACAAGCAGGAGGCCGGTGCCAGTCGAGTGGAGGTGCTGAGTAGTGGATTGGGCAATGAGGAGGTCGGAGAGGTAGGGAGATGCCAGAGAGTGAAGGGATTTGAACACAAGTGTGAAGATCTTGAAGTCAATCTGTTTGGTGATGGGGAACCAGTGGAGCCTGGCCACAAGTGGTGAGATGGGGGTACAGAGTTTGGTCTGGGTAAAACAGAACATAACATCCTTTCTTCAATAAATGTAGCCATTTTTTAATCTTAATCCCACTGGGGAATCCCAAAGATTATCCTGTTATTTCTTCTACCACTTATTCAAAAGCTCAAATTTAGATGCTATGCTGTGTCATTCTTACGATAGAGACATGTAACGCCAGTGCAGTAATACTCTTCTCCTTTTCTGACAGCTGTTCCTGTTTGCCCCAGTCATTTGTTCTAAGTATATCTTAGAATGTTGTTGTGTCCTTATGTCTTGCTCACCCTTTAATGGATTCTAGTGAATTTTAGAGGGGCAAGATCTACGTAGAGTCCAAGGTCCTTCTTCGAGTGCCTGTTTGATCTGAGGGGCCTTGAGGTGGCTGTCTTAATGTGATTGAGGATCCTGAACACATGTTACTGTCAATAAAAGTTGATTTATGGCTGTGGTATATTTTTTTATTTACAGTATGTTTATGGTTGGCTTTGTAGATATAACTAATTATTAACTTTTGCATTTATTACTGGATGATTAGGAATTATTCCAGATATGGTACAATGGATAACTAACCATTTCAACAATAACAAATTACATTTGTATAGCGTCTTTCACATCAGAAGGACATCCCAAAGCGCTGGACAGTCAGATCCGCACCCAAGCTGGTGATTTGAATGTGGAGGGCGGGGAGGGTAGGGCTAGGAGGGTGACTAAAAGCCACTTAAGGTCAAAGAGGAGAGTCTTGAGACAGGTCTTGAAGGAGGCAAGGGGAGGGGGGGGTGAGCTGGAGGAACTCTGGGATGGAGTTCCAGAGGGTGGGGACAGAGAAGCTATAGAATCTATACAAAACACTAGTTAGGCCTCAGCTGGAGTACTGGGTCCAGTTCTGGGCACCTTACTTCAGGAAGGACATTAAGGCACTGGAAAGGGTGCAGAGGAGATTCACGAGAATGATACCAGGAATGGGGAACCTTAGCTATGAGGACAGGCTGGAGAAGTTAGGACTTTTCCCATTAGAGCAGAGAAGATTACGCGGGGACCTGATAGAAGTCTTCAAGATCATGAAAGGTTTTGACAGGCTAGATAAGGAAAAGCTGTTTCCGCTGGTAAGTGTGTCTGAGACCCCTGTCTTAAAGATATCTACCAAAAGAAGCAGAGGGGAGGTTAGAAGAATTTTTTTTTACTCAGCGAGTTGTTTGAATTTGGAATGATCTGCCTGAAAGGGCAGTGAAGTCCGATTCGATAACAGCTTTTAAGAGAGAACTGGATAGGTATCTGGGGAAGACGGGTTTGCAGGGTTATGGGGAGAAAGCTGGTGATTGAGGTTAGTGAAAGTGACTTGCTCTGTCAAAGAGCCGGCACAGACTCGATGGGCCGAATAGCCTCCTTCTGTGCCATAACATTCTATGAATCTATGAAAAATAAGCTGAAGACCTGCCTGTCAATGGTGAGGCGGGCAAGGTGGGGGATGTGAAGCAGGCTGGAGCGCGCTGAATGGAGGGAGCGGACAGGTTGGTAGGGGGTGAGGAGTTCACAGAGGTAGAGAGGAGCAAGACCGTGGAGGGTTTTGATGCCGAGGGTCAGAGTCTTGAACTGTATCCTCTGTGTGATGGGAAGCCAGTGGAGTTGGGCGAAGATGGGGGTGATAGGGTCGTGGAGGACACAGATGCAGAGTTCTGGATGATCTGCAGCCTATGGACGGAGGGGAGGCAGGCAAGCAGGGAGTTTGCGTAGTTGAAACTGGATGTAAAATCAATAATGATATACATTGGGGAGTTTGCTATTATTGGTGGTTTGCAAAATTCTCATTCATCCTCAGGGAAGACTCTGTTTGTATCTAAGTCTACATCAGCTTCTTGGGAGAGTGTAGGTGCAGGGAAGCTTTGGGTGAGTTATTAAAATAGCAGAGAGGTCAATTGATCAGTGGGGGGAGTGGGAGTGACAGAAACTGAGTATACATCCATCACCAAACCTAGATTTCCACACATCTCACCTACACATGGGAATTCCTGAGATATGTATTGGAATGGAATGCGCACTCTCTCCCTGGAGGGACGCATCCTGCTTACCTAATCCTGGTGCAAGTTAGCAAGAGCTTGCGGACCCCAGAATGTGCATTGGGGGGGTACTACCGGAGTGTAACCAGCTAAAACGGCAGAGCTTACCATTCGGCGCACATTTACCTGAACCGTTGCCGCGTGCGATTGGATCCGAGTTTCCTCAGAGATACCGGTAATCAAAAAAAAAGTCTGCGGTCCAAAATCCAGAAGTGGCCCAATATGACGTTGCCGACTATTGGTCGGTCTTTAAAGCGGAAGCAACGTTTGCGGGTTTACATTGAAACATCTTAAAATTCGGCGCCCGTCCAATGTGACCCAAACCCGCCCAATCGGAAGTGAACCCGCCCAATCTGCTGGTGTGCGCATGCGTCGGGGAAAAAAAAAAGGCGGCAGCGGATGACGCATGCGCGCCGTGTGGCTGGCGATCGGCCTTTGGCAGTGAAGGCGGAGCTGGGAAACCATGATAGCCACCGGGAAGTGTGTCCTCCACCAGAGCTCCGACAGCACCGGTGTGAGCGGCGTATCGGGAACCGTGATTTTCGAGTGGGACGTAAGTAACAGTACCGGCGGCGTTGCCGGTAAACACACGGCCGCACCTCACTCACTCACAATGTCGTCGCTCTCGAAATTACCGCCTAAACTCAAGAGCCGCGGTTGGAAGCGCACGGCGGTGGGTGTTGACGCCGCGCGAGCGCTTCCATTGACGCACGAGAAATAAACCCGAGCAGCGACCCGCCGCGGCCACGGTAACGACTGGCCGTTGTGAAGCTGTGGCTGCCATCAGGGGGAGCCGTCGATGGCAGTTTGTTTTAACACCAAAGAGAGACTGTGTTTGTGCCTCGAAGGACCTGCGGGTGTGTGTCCGAGTGAGAGTTACGGCTGTACGTCATCCCGCATCCCGAGCAGCCGTACACCGCCCTCCCGCACCTCCTCATAACCGTCATGGCCGCCGCGACCTCCCCCACTGCGGGAGGCCAGGACACGGCCCCATGTTGTGGCAGGGACCAAAGATTGCGGGGCGTAATTGTGGAGGATCAGTTTGGTCACTCACTCCGTGACTGTTTGTGGGGCACTGCTGTGCGCAATTGGCTGCCACGTCCAGCCCACAATATACACAGTCACTCCACTGTACAGTATGTTCTGTGAAGCGCTTTGAGACGTGATGAGACGTTGTATCAAATGCAAGGACTATTATTATCAGTTGGGCCAAAGGGGCCATCTTCACTCAAACTGATTTTGTGGTCAGCCTGCACAAGAACAACAACAACAACAGCATTTACATAGCGCCCTCCATGCCAGGCGGCGTCCCAGAGCGCTAAACAATGATGGAGCCCGATGCCGAGCCAGCGGGAGGGGGAGAGGGAAGGTGACCACAGGCAAGGGCAAAGACGGAGGTCTTCAGGCGCAAACTGAAAATGGGGAAAGAGGGGGCAAGGCGAAGGGATTGAGGGAGGGAGTTCCATAGCTTCGGGCTGTAGTGACTTGTAGTGTCTGAAGGCATGGTGGAGCGGAGGATTCGAGGGACAAGGAGGAGGCCGGAGCTAGTAGAGCGGAGGCAACGGGTAGGGCTGTGAGGATAGAGGAGGTTGGAGAGATAGGGGTGCCAAGGCGTGAAGGGATTTAAACACTAGAGTGAGGATCTTGAACTCAATCCACTCTGTGACAAGGAGCCAATGGAGGTCACAAGAGAAATTGACATGAATAAGGAAGGTAGGTCACTGTAGCCCATCTGATCTCATTCTTCCAGAACATCCACTTGAATGTCAACAACAACTTACATTTATTATAGCACCCTTCACGTGGGATAGTATCTTGGAGCCCTTAACAGTGGTGGAGCTTAACTCCGGCCTTGCATCAACAGCATTCAGCTTTTTTAAAAAAACAAGTTCAGTCTCCTGGCCTCAACCTGTTCCTGGCCGATACTCCTCCAGATAAAATTGCTTGTTTCCTTTCATGGCTGTTTGTGGGACATTGTTGTGTAAAGATTGGTTGCTGTGTTCGCCTACAAATACATTGCCTACACTTTACAGTAAAATCCTGTGAATTGTTTTGAGGTGTTTTGACGCTGTATTAAGGCACTAATATCAAATGGAAGAATGATTTTTATTAATCTCTGGGTAAATAATAATTCCTGTCATTTGCCATTTGCAACATTGAACCTGTGTCTTCTTGTGTCCTCGGTTTAACATCTCACCTGAAAGACATCACCTCCAACAATGTAGCCGCCCGCAGCTCGTATCGACAGTCCTATTTCACGTAGACATCATTTTCTGTAAAATAACAAAACATAAACTATTTATTTGTTCACCTTCCCTTTTCTGTACTCGAGTCCGTATCCCTTTGGTTTAGATTTTTTTGACCATGTTACATGACAAGTTATAAAGGTTTGATTTAACTCTTTTTTACCAAACTTTTTAGGAAACTGAAGAAGTGTTAATAAAAGGAACCATTAGCGGCTTGTCTCCTGGAAAGCATGGCCTTCATGTTTGCTCCTTTGGAAACATTACTGATGGTATACTTCAATCTTGTGTTTCCAAATAACAGATCTTGTTTGATAATCAACAACTATAATTACAGTATATGAATCTTACCTAAAATATGAACTAATCTGAATTTTTAGTTATAGTTAAATGAATTACTGGATTTGATTGGATTTTTCAAAGTAATCTTTGTTAACATGCAAGAAATTATGAACTGTTAAGCAGATAACCCAGGGGTCTCAAATGGCTTTAATGTCGATAAATATAATGTCATGCATATCAGAACAGGCGATGCATATCTCCTGTAGCTTTGAAGTCCTGTAGCTTATTGGTTAGAGCACTCGCCTCGCAAGCGAGAGGACCTGGATTTGATTCCCAGTCAGGACGAAACATTGGGCAAGTTTCCTTATTCCACACGCCTCTGTTTCATCTAGCAGTAAGTAGGAACCCGGTTGTTAGTTGAATGGCAGATGGATTTTCTGGGGGTAATAATTCCTGACTTAAAAAAAAAATTTGGTAACTCAATCCACGACTGTTTGTGGGACACTGCTGGGTGCGATTTGCTTTTGCCACAAAAGACCTTCCTTTTCGACCGTGTCTCCGGTCATTTCTGCTCGACGTCAGGCTCCGCCACTGTCAAGCACTCTAGGATCCTACCTTGGGTGAGGGGTGCTATATAAATGCAAGTTGTTGTGAAAGCATGGTGTGTCAGATGCCTGACTAACCCCCCAAAAAGTGTATGGATTTTTTTTGAAGCATCATGATTGCTCCCTTCAATGTCTGAAATGTGGTACTGCAGCCTATTGGACCATGGGTGGTTGCTTGGAACAAAATGAGATACAGTAATTGGCTCATCAAGCCCACTCCTTGTTCAGATCATGCATGAATGTTATTATAATCTACAACCCACTCACTATTATCTTTGGGAGATATTCTGTATAGAAAATCCTCAATCACCAAAGGTGAAGCAAAAACTCCCAATATTCATCATCTCCACTGCTTCTCATATATACACCTCCTGTCCCATAATCCTGATTTCTTGTTCCCATTTTCTTCATAAATATATGCAATGTCATTGTTGAACAGAATCACATCATTATGGTGACTCCCTATATGGACAATTATTATTTTATGCACTCAACTGTTAGGTAGGTTGAGGATAGCTCTAGTTGTGCTGAGTACTTTTACTTCCCTATTTGCATATTTTGGAAATGTTAGAATTACGTACTCTATAATTGCATACTGTTTTGTTTCTCTTTATATTACTGGAAAAAATGATAAGGTCCATTATTTTTATCTCTTAGGTTATTTCCATTCAGGAGATCATTATAACCCATGTGATAAAAAACATGGTGGACCACAAGATGAAGAGAGGTGAGATTTAGATTTAATTATGGTATTTTAAGCGTTAAACACCTTGACGAGCAAATTTAAGATTTGTTTACCTCTCTGTCTTAGAACAATACTATAAATCTGCAAAATAATATTGGTAAATGCAGTCAAATGAAAATTCTTTCACAACAACAAAATTACATTCGTATATCGCCTTTCACGTCAGGACAGACAGCGTTTTCACTATATGAAATTGAAAATTTGTTCAACTGCATTTGGTGATGAATAAAGACGTGGATACATTTCATTAATTATTCAGGGTATTTAAGTAAATGAGTTTTCCAAGTAAATCTTTTTTCCCCCAGATTGGCCATGGGGACTTTAATTTTCTGTTTTCCCAGCACCAGAAGAGATGTATAGGGTATATTGTGTGGGAGCTGGAAATAGGGCAAACTTGATGGCCCCTGGGCCTTTTTGCTCTTTTTAGTTATGTATGCAGCAAATATGTGTGCATGTATCTTTCTGTTGTTTCTTAATCTGAAAGTGTTTTTATTTAAATAATTTTAGAACCAATTTCTCCAGTGCCGGAGCTATTTCCAGCAGAGGCATGATACCCAAAATTGTCTCCTGTGCTGTAAATCTTCTGTGATTGCTATGAAATTAATTCCATCATTAATGCCATCAAAACTGGGCCCAATGGAGAAAATTTGCATGTATTTTTGCTCAATAAATTTGGCTCCTTGTACGCTTTGGAGACAATTACTGTGTCAATTACTATGGTTCAAGCAGATCTGCACTTGTAATATATTCCCACCAGCCAGAAACATACATTTTCAGAAGAGAAGGATGTAATTTAGCCTATTCCGTCTACCACAATGTGTATTGTGTTTTTGGTTTGTTGGATGTCTGACACAAGCAGGAACCCATCATTGTACTTAAGGTATCCAAGTTCTATGCATCCCACCTACACATAGAAATGCTTGTGTATTGGAATGGAATCACACTGTCTCCCTTGGAAGATCGCATCCTTCTTACCTAATTCCAGAGAGTATAAGACCCAGGCTGGCAAACTACAATATTGCCACCTTGTTACAAATTTCACAACTAGCTGAGATTTACCTCTTTTGAGGTCCCCCTGCTTAGTCTGTAATCTAATTCCTTAAACTCTTTTTTTAAATATGAATCCTCTTTTCTATATTATTGGTTGCAGAATAAACTGCAGAGATGAATGTCAGTGTTTGTTTTCCTGTCCTATACTTTTGTTTTAATTTTCAATATCTTGTAAAAATTATTGATTACGGCAACAGTGATTGATAACCTTCTGATTGGGTATATTGAAAGTATTGGAATAGTATAAATCTTTATCCCCAGTATCTGATTTTTAATCTGAGGACATATCCATATTTACAACATAACTTCAACAACATACAGCAAAATTTGCAGAGCACTCTTGTTTATGTCTAGTTTTATGAATTTATTATAACTCTTTTTAATCTACTCTAGACATGTAGGTGACCTTGGAAATGTGGAAGCGAGTGATTCAGGTGTGGCTGAGTTTCAAATGCATGATCGACTACTCCGTCTGGCAGGAAATTATTCAGTAATTGGACGTACTTTGGTGGTAAATATTGTGTTCCAGCAGCCACAATTCATTAAATGTCAGACTCCTAACAAGATGATTGCCCATGCAAAAATCTTAGTCTGGATTGTTTTTTTCAAATTGAATGTTTAGGTCTTACTAGTTTTTAGTTTTTAGGTCTTACTAGCTGAATGTTTTGCTGGGATAGATTTTCTTTTCAGATGCCAGGACCAATTTCTGGGAATAGTACACAATCAAACTATTTAACTCTCATCCAGTTTTCCATAATATACTTCAGTGTATTTATCCCTAAATCTAATAATTGACTGTATAATCATGACATTTTGGATGGTTAATAGCCAATAACCTTAACACGAAGTTAGAGGGAGTATTTGAGTTACCAGCAGGCAGGACTGGCACAAAGTGTTCAGCGAAGCCAACAACAACTTATATAGAGACCCTCATGCAGGATAGCATTTATATTGAGACCCTCATGCAGGATAGCATCCCAAAGCCAACCTCGTATCAAATACACTTACTTGATTGCTGATCTCAATGCACACATCTTGGAGATTAAGTCATAGCCTGAGACAATTTGCTACAGACACAAATGCTACAATTTGTATCTGTATTTGCTTACAAATACACAGTTCTCCATTTCACAGTAATTCCTATGAAGCGCTTTGTGACATTCTTCCGATGTGTGCAATTCACCCACAAAATATACAGTCAATTCACTTTACAGTGTATTCTGTGAAGCGCTTTGAGACATGTCAAAAACGTGATAAGTAGCTATATCAAATGAAAGGATTATAATTATTCAGCTCAACGTGCGCAAAACTGAGGCCCTCCTGATTGGCTCGCGTCAGCGCCTCCGCACCTCAGGCGCTGACAGCATCAGCATCCAGGGCTGCACTCTCCACCTCTCAAAGCCAATCAGGGACCTCTGCGTTCTGTTCGACCCTGAGCTGTCCTTTCTTCCTCATATCCGCGCCACAACTGGCACCGCCTTCCATCACCACCGAAACATCGCCAGACTACGGCACTACCTCATCCCTCACGCTGCTGAAACTCTGGTCCACGCCTTTATCACCTCAAGGCTGGAGTATGGGAACTCTCTCCTCGCCGGCCTTCCCTCCACAAGCTGCAGGTCATTCAGAACTCTGCAGCTCGTGTACTGTCCCGCACCAGGCTTCGCGACCACATCACTTCCACCCTCGCTCGCCTCCACTGGCTCCCCATCCCCCAGAGGATCGAATTCAAGATCCTCATCCTCACCTACAAGGCCATTCACGGCTTTGCTCCCTCCTACCTCTCCGACCTACTATCCCCCTACCTACCTGCCCGTACCCTCTGTTCCTCTGGTTCCGGTCTGCTCCACATCCCCCGCCCCAACCGCCCTACCATCGGTGGCCGGGCCTTCAGCCTCTGAGCCCCGAGGCTCTGGAACTCCATCCCCCAGTGCCTTCGCCGCCTCCTCCCTTTCCTCCTTCAAGGCCAGTCTCAAGACCTTTCTCTTTGACCGTGCCTTCAGCTCCCCTCTCGACTCTCTCTCTATCCCCTCCTCGCTCCCTCCCTTCCCTCCCCTCACCCTGACCATTTCCCCCCTGCTCGGGTACCGACCCAACTGTACAGCGCCTTGGGACGTCCTCCCGACGTGAAAGGCGCTCTATAAATGGAATCTTGTTGTTATAACAATCCTGAATAATTTTCAATTAGGTGGATTGATGAGAGGTTTGATTTTTGAACTACCTGTAGGTTCTTGTTCCACCAGCTGGAGTGGTAGTTTCTTACACACATTTTTACTAAAAATATTTCTGTAGCATTTCCGATTCTCTTGTCCTTATTTTCAAGAAATTAATCTTATGTTGCTGATTCATATTTGTACATATTTTGTACAAAACTTATTTGAATCCAAATTTTCTAAACTATATCTGAAGTACCTTTATCCAGCTCTGTCGTGGTACTCCCTTCTAAAGAGAGAAAGATTCCAGAACAAAGGTAGGTGTGTGCTAGGTTTTGGCTCACATATCAAGGTTTGCTGATTTAGTGTCCGAGAAGATCCAATCTTTCATCAGAGCTCTATTCCTTAAATTCTATTTTGTTGAACAATAAGACATTATCAATAGGGTAAAACTAACCTGTCTCACGGCGGACTAACCCCAGCTCATGTTCACTATTAGTCACTGAAGTAATAACCTGCCACTGGACTTCCTACTACAATTGAACATCGATTTTGAATTAGGAAGATCAAAACCAATGCTCAAATGTGGTTCCACTACATCCACATTGAATTTTGAAACTGCCAGGGATGTTACACTCTTAACTGTATATTCCAACATTTTGCTTTTTTTTATAACTATTTCAGAATTAGTGACCATCCGACTAATACCTTAAGCTCTCCCTTCTGTTGTGCTACCATTAGGATATTTCCATTCTGTATATAGACCACACTACCCTTTCTTCTCCATAATCTCATACATTTTCATTCTTTGTATTAAACTATATCTACCACCTTTATGTCCATATATCCAGAAAGCCTAGAAGGCTCCAATAGATATCCTTATTTTAGTAACCACTTAAAACTCTTGTGTTGATAGTTAAAGCTACAAGTGCTGATATCTTTGTTTTACATTTGTTAAAGGTGACTGAAAACGAAGATGACTTGGGCAAAGGTGGAGATGAACAGAGCCTTACAACAGGAAATGCTGGAAAAGGTTTAGCTTGGGGAATAATTGGAATAGTTAGTGAATTTTGCCCAGCAAGTGAAGATTTAACACAAAAATCTAAAGAATGACAGTGTTTGATTACAGATCAAAGTATGCTGTATTAGCATACTGCAATTGATGTCAAATTGCATTGTTTGGTACAGTATATAAAGAGGCTGTTGTGTGGATTCAGAGTTTAATTCTGCCGATTTTACAATGCTCAATAATATGTTATTATTCTGTCCATTTTTACAGTGCTCATAATATTTATTCATGTTCAACCAAACTTAGCCTTAATTTTTGGCTGTATCTACCAAATGCTATTAAAGTTAATACCCCCAGTCTTAATCTTTTGTGGCTGTGTATATTTTCACATTATTTCTGTTGTCATAAAAACTGTTTCACTAAATGTTAGTCCTTGTTCCTTGTCAGATATAATGCAACTTATGGAAATGGGTATGTTAGAATCTGACCATATCCCTAGCATTTCTATAAACTAAATGGCTAGAATTTTTTTTAGATCTGCGTGATTAATATTAGATATGGGGGGGAAAACATAAATTGTTCCCCAAAGACTCAATTTAAATAATTTAATATTTTAACTATTTTGAATTCCTTTCAATGTCTAGATATATATTTAGACATTACCAGTTCATTATGTATTTCATTGACTTACTTGTACAATCCAATATTCTGTGAATTTCTCATATTTGCTCTTTCATTAATTTGTGAGTACTATTTGTTAAATTATTAACACTCTGATTAATGCTGATTTATGGTGTATCCTTGCTTTTTTTCATTCATGTTCCAAGTATAAATGAGAAATTCTATCTTCCAGTGCAGAGTGAGGGATCAACGAGGAACACTATCCCTTTAAGAGCCTTGCACCATGCTCACTGACAAATTTACTTGACACCACATTTTACATTCTATCCACGTGACCGGATTTAGTAACTCATTTTAGTGGGGAAAGAATTACCAAAGGTGACAATGTATTGAAATGTGAAGCTATTTGAGGTGTGTTCTGAGTACAAAATATTTAAATTTAGTTTTTCTCTGTTAGTAAAACAAATTAGCTACTTTCGGTGCTCTTTGTAGTTTGGGAAATATTCTTGTTTATATTGCTTATGAGTGTTTTGTTTTGCAATTGCATGTTTCATTGCTGGGCTAGGACAATATCATTTTGAGTATTGGTTGTTTATTCGGTCATGCATTCCCTGTTGTAGATAGTTACAACCATTACATTGACTTGTTATCTAAATATGACAATGCTGTTTAAACACTTAAAACATATCCAGGTTTTAGGGTTCATAGTGGAAGGAAATGTGCAGTGCTTTGGTGATCTGAGTCCTGTAGCTCAGTGGTTAGAGCACTCGCTTTGCAAGCGAGAGACCTGAGTTCAATTCCAGGCAGATGGCGAAACCTTGGGCAAGTTTCCTTACTCCACACACCTAATAATAATCCCTCCAAAACCCAAAACAATAATAAATTGGTCATTTTCAATCTACGACTGTTTGTGGGACATTGCTGTGCGCAATTGGCTGCCGCGTTCGCCCACAAATATACAGTCAATTCACTTTACAGTACATTCTGTGAAGCGCTTTGGGACGTCCTCCCGACGTGAAAAGCGCTATATCAAATGCAAGGATTATTAAGGATTATTATTATTATCTTGAAAGATGAGATAACAATATTTGCATTTGATATACATTCTGTACACATTGAAGCATTTCACAGGTAATTTCTGTCAAACTCGTGATAATATTTGTAGACAAACACAGCAACCAATTTTGGGTACAGGAAGATCCTACCAATAGCTGTGAAATGGATGACCAATTTATGTGGATGATTGTTGGCTAGGGCAATATCATCTTCCTATTGTCAAAAGCTTGATGGATCTTTAATGTCTATCTAAATGGTAGACATAACCTCAAATTAAGGTTTTAGCTGAAGGGCTATACTTCACAATGTTGTACTGGTACTCGAAGGAAGTTTCCAAATATCCTGCCAGATAATCCTCTAGATAAAAAAAGGTCATTTATTTCGCTTTGGTACGTTGGAGTGTGCAAATTGGCTATTGCGTATACTGCTATATCAAATGCAAGGATTATTAATTTTTGTGCAGTATTTGCTTTGAATTCACAGATTATATTCTAAAACAGTTCTCCCCTGAGCAGCACAGGCTTTCTGTTAAGATGTACTGCTGTTGAAAGTGACTATTAATACTCTTAGCAAGTTATGAATCACCTATTCAATAAAATTGTTTCACCCACAGAATACAAAATCACTTTTTAACAACAACAACTTGGATTTATATAGCGCTCTCTATGATGGACGGTGTCTCAGCACTTCACAGTATCGGATCCCGGGGCCGAGCCAGGGGGAGAGGGAAGAAAGTGACCAAAGGTAAGGTCGAAAAGGTCTTTAGCCGAGACCTGAAAATAGGAAGAGGGGGTGACCCTTCAGCTCCCCTCTCGACTCTATCCCCTCCTCCCTCCCTTCCTTCCCCTCACCCTGACTATTTCCCCCCTCCTCGCCCCCTCCCCCTGACCATTTCCCCACTGCTCGGGTCCTGACCCAACTGTACAGCGCCTTGGGACGTCCTCCCGACGTGAAAGGCGCTCTGTAAATGGAATCTTGTTGTTGTTGTTGTTCGAGACATCTTGAAGACGTGATATGGCGCTATATCAAATGCAAGGATCATCATTATTATAAAATGCATTAGGCTCAGCCTGTGATGCCCTGCCCCCCCCCCCCCAACCCCCTGCCCTGCCTGCCCCCCCCCCGCCCTGCCTGCCCCCCCCCCCCCCGCCCTGCCTGCCCCCCCCCCACCTGGCCTGCCCCCCCCCCCCCCGCCCTGCCTGCCCCCCCCCCCCCCCTGCCCTGCCGCCCGGCCCCGCCCGCCTCAGCCCGTGTGTGAAGTCACGAGGGCCGGTCTCCCGCCCCGCAAGAGTTGACACTGCGCGTGCGCGCGCCTTTACACGGCTCTGCGCGGTCGGTGGCTGTCGCCTCGTCGGGCGGTTCGCGGTCGTGAAATTGGGGAATTATGACGACTACGAAGGCCGTGTGTTTGCTGAGGGGTCACTCCTCCGTGGTCGGGACGTGTACTTTCAAAGCAATTGTGAGTCAGGCCACGACTGTTAACAGTCATAGTAATGCCCGGGGCTGGGCGGGGGCTTCGTGTCCATAACGGAGATGGACGCGGAGGGCAGACACGTGGCCCTTCGTTTGTTTCACTTGAAGCGCATGTGTTTGTAGCGCAAGAGCCGCCATCTTCCTAACTCCCGGTGTGTGTGTGTGTGTGGGGTGTGGGTGTGGTTCTCCTGCACGTTCCAGCTTCTTGCACGGAATCTCCCCAACTTGCCTTTTTTAAAAAAAAAGTCGGATTTTTTTTTCAGCGAAAACGTTTTGCATTGAACGCGCGGTTACACGGCGTATTGATGAGCTGCGGCCGACACCGCCAGGTCGGGTTTTAACTGACCTCAATGGTACAGTGTGTGGTGTGGTGTGTGTGTGTGTGTGTTGAACGTTGTGCACTGTTGTTCACTGCTCGAGCTCCTGTGTCGGGAGGAGCCGCCGCTTCAGAGGCCGTTATAACCGTTGATGTGAACCCGCGCGCCCGCGGCCTGGTTTTAACGGCCACCGTGGCGGGGGTTGGAGCCCGCGCCGCTCGGGCCAACCCGGTCTTTATATCACCACCGCCCTGTGATCGTAATAAATGACCACTTTTCGTTTGGATGGGCTGTGGCTCGTGACTTCTCCGGTCACCACACCAGCCGTGCGAGTGGCAGTGCAGTCGGTGTCCCCATCTATGGAGACAAACACAATAGGCAATTTGGACGCACAAACCATGAGGTTAGTCAGTGACTTAATTTTTTCTCGGCCACTTAAGACAGGTTGAAGCACTGGTCGACAGCTATTTGGCGAGCGGTTTAACTATTGGGGCTCGGGCGCCAGTCCGGCTTGGTCGCTGTGCTGTGGAAATTGTTGCATTTAGCTACAAAATACACTTTAGTGCAGTCTTTGAAGCACTTTGAAATGGGTTGTGGAAGGTACTGTATCAAATGCAAAGATAATTATTGTAACCTCACCAAACTTTGACACCTCTTGGCCAAATTGCTAGAGTGAGCTGGTTGAAATGATAATCGATGTAATGCGTAGATTTCCATGTTAAGTTATATTCTATCTGGTCACTGAGTGGCTTTTATGACAGAATTTTGTTTACAAAGCTCTGGTTCTAAGAAGGCCAAACCCAATAACTTTTCCATGGAATTATTTTGTAGGCAAATGGACACGTGGTAATTCAAGGAGAAATCAGTGGACTGACTCCTGGAAAGCATGGAATCCATATTCATTTATATGGAGACGTTTCTGACGGTATGGACAATGTACCTATCGTATTATGTATACATACAACCATCGTGTGAACAGTACTATTAGGGATCTGATTTAATAACTCCTAGCATGTAAAGGAAGGACATCCTTTATAAATACCCACTTGTTTTATTTTGCCTGAATTGGGTTGGTACTTTTGAGAAAACCTACTGTTTTCACCACATATTGAAAGATATTTATTTCCTCTTCCAACTCGGATATTGGCTGTGGACAGACTTGACCCTCAATGACATTTATACCACTGAAGGTTAATGCAATTCTTCCAATCAGAGATGCGGAATAGGGTCTTTAGCAGCTTATTGAGGATGGGGAAAAGTAAACAAAAGCTTCTGTTCAGTAATTCCTGCTGGAAGATGCATATAAGTGGATATTGTCTGGAAATATGATTCGGGGCTGAAATGCAACAATAGTCAAATAGCCCACCTTTGCCACAAACATCACTACCAAATTGTTTATAGTGAATTAATTTGGGCCACCACATTCCCCACCCCGCCCCCTGAAAAAAAATGTAACATGTTGGTATTGTTGATGTTCATGCAAATTACTGGTTTGTTGAAGACATTTCTGAGGTTGCTATTAAGTAACAAAGACGCATTTTCCTGAGATACAAAACCATTTAAGTGTAAGTACTGTATTTGTTTTTAGGCTGTGCCAGTGTAGGACCTCATTACAACCCCTGTAACGAAACACACGGTGCACCACAAGATAAAAAGAGGTGAGATTTCCTTAGGCAGTAATGTCCAAAGTGAAGAATGCAGTTCATTACTTTGATGTTTAACACTGCCTTTGTATTTAACAATGATCCATATCATTTCATAGTACTGACTTGTACCAATAACGGAAGTTATCGAGAGCTTCAAAATTATTTTTTCCCATCATTAAATCTAATTGAACCCTGATTTTTAGCTTGCGATAATAGGCTTCAATAATATTTCATTGATTAGTTATCTCATAAAGGGAAGGAAAAGTCAAGTTATTATTGAAGCGTATTATCCCATGATTAAAAATCACAGGATCGCTTACTGTCAAAATTAATCCCCAGCTCTATTTAATTGTAAAACATAGTTTGGCCGCTTCATAATACCACTTATCAGGGCTTTGTTTTGCAGAGTTAACCACATTTATATATCCAAATCTTTTTGAGTTAGACAAGCTAGTTAATCAACAATATCTTAGATGTCCGAGGACCTACCAGCCATGTCTGCTCTCCACCATTTCAGTCTTAGAAAGTTACCATTTACCTTTCTTTCCCCCAACCCCTTCCCTATTGGAAAATTAAGTTGTAGCCAATGGATAAGTAATACAGATTCTCTTATTTTGAGAATCTTTAGGTTTGTCTATCGCTCTGTTAAACCTCTTCGTTGATGCCAAAGATTAGTAACTTGTGATCTGGAAATGACTCCATTTATTTAAATAAGTGGCTGCCAAAGATGGGCTTGGAAGTCAAAAAGAGCTGTCTGACCTATTAAACGCACAGTACAAGCAAGATTGTTGTAATCAACAGATGTGTAGTTGGGTTGGTGAGCTCTGGTTTAGCTTCCAATTGAATTAAATAAAACTATATTGTTCCAGAAAACTGTCCTGAGTATACTCTAGAAATGTATTGCCTTTACAACAGCATTAGCAACAATAACTTGCATTTAAATAGCACCCTCTAAGTCGGGTGGTTTCTCAGAGCGCTTAACAATGGTGGAGGCTGAGCCAGGGGGAGGGGGAAGCTGACTGTAGGTGTGGTCGAAGAGGAAGGTCTTCAGGTGCAACCTGAAGATGGGGAAAGAGGGGGCGAAGCGTAGAAGTTGATGTGGAGTTCCAAAGTTCAGGGCATAGTAGCTGAAGGCATGGCCGCCGTTCCCGGAGCGGAGGATTTGGGGGACACGGAGGAGGCCAGACCCAGGAGAGCGGAGGCAGCGGATATTGCTGTGGGGAGAGAGGAGGTTAGAGAGATGGGGGGGTGTCAAGGAATGGAGGTGGTGTGCGGTGGTGTAGCCCTTATCTCAAGGACACCACTTGCCCTATCCTCCTCCTCCTCTGGCTCTTTCCCCTCTTTTGAGCACCTCACCCTCTCCCACCCCTCCCATCTCTCACTTAAAATCCTCTTCCTCTTCCGGCCCCCTAAAACCTCTCCCATCTTCATCTCTGATATTTCTACCCTCCTAACATCTCTCTGCTCTGATCGCCTCATCATCCTGGGCAACTTCAACCTGCACTTCACCCCCTCCTGCTCCATCTCCTCGGACTTCTCCCTCCTCCTCGCTCAACCTCTCCCTCCACATCAACTCCGCCGCTCACATTCATGACCACCCACTCGATTTGGTGATCACCCGGGGCCTCAGTGTCTCGGATGTCACCATTACCGATAAGGCCGTCTCCGATCACCACTTCATCTCCTTCACCACGTCCACCCCCCTCCCTATCTCCACCAGACCCACCACCATCTTCTACCGCCCCTGGAAGAAGTTACCCCCACAATCCCTAACTGCTGCCTTGGAGTCCTCTAAACTCCTCTCCCTCTGGCCTTCAACCCTCACTGACCCCTCTTCTGCTCTCACCCTCCTCCACAACACTCTCTCCTCCACACTCGACACTCTTGCCCCCATCACCTCCTGTACTGTCTCTTATTCTCACTCCTCCCCCTGGTTCAACACCCACCTCCGCTCACTGAAGAGCCAGGTGCGGGCTGCTGAACACACCTGCTTCAAATCTGGCCTAACGGTCCACCGGCAAATCTGGCTGGACCTCCTCAAAATCTACCCCTCCACTCTAGTCTTGGCCAAGTCGTCCTTCTACTCCAGGATAATCCTGGGGGAGAAGAACACCCCCAGACTTTTGTTCTCTACCACATCCCGACTCCTCCGTTTCCCCCCCCCCCCACCATCCCGCGCAGGTCATCTCCTCCAACCTTCACTGCGAGGAGATGCTGGATTTCTTTGAATGCAAAATCAAGGGAATTTGGTCCGCGGTCACTGCCCCTCCAACTTCCCCCCACCCTCAACCCCCTCCCTCCCACACTCCGACTCCTACCCATCCTCCCCTATACACCTTCGAACCCGTTTCCCCACCCTCTGTCACCAAACTCATCCTGTCCTTGAAACCCACCACCTGCTCCCTGGACCCCATCCCCACTCCACTCCTTATCTCTCAGCTCCACCTCCTTGCCCCACTTCTCACAGACACCATCAACCTGATCCTCTCCTCTGGCTCCGTTCCCATTCCCCTCAAAACTGCCACCATCACTCCCACGTTGAAAATACCCTCCCTTGATGCGTCGCATATATCAAACTACCGGCCCATCTCCAACCTCCCCTTCCTGTCCAAGGTTCTCAAAAGAGTCGTCGCCTCCCAGCTGCGCTCTTTCCTCTCCACCCACTCACTTTTCGAACCCCTCCATAGCACGGAAACCGCCCTGGTCAAGGTCACCAATGACATCTTGACCATCTGCGACCAGGGCTCCCTCTGCCTCCTCGTCTTCCTCGACCTATCAGCCACATTCGATACGATTGACCACTCTATCCTCCTCCACCTCAACCTTCAAGGCCCTGTCCTTGAGTGGTTTAGGTCCTACCGCTCCCACCGTCTTCATTTTGTCTCTGCAAACGGCTTCTCCTCCAGCCCCCGCACTGTCTCGTGCGGTGTCCCTCAGGGCTCTGTCCTCAGTCCCCTCCTCTTCACCCTCTACATGCTCCCCCTTGGTGACATCATCCGCAGACATGGAGTTAACTTCCACATGTATGCGGATGACACCCAACTCTACCTTTCCTCGTCTACCCTCAACTCCACGACCACCGATGTCCTGACAGCTGCCTGTCCGACATCGAGTCCTGGACGAGAGACAACTTTCTTCAGCTCAACGTGTGCAAAACTGAGGCCCTCCTGATTGGCTCGTGTCAGCGCCTCTGCACCTCAGGCGCTGACAGCATCAGCATTCAAGGCTGCACTCTCCACCTCTCAAAGCCGTCAGGAACCTCGGGGTTCTGTTCGACCCTGAGCTGTCCTTTCTTCCTCATATCTGCACCACAACTGGCACCGCCTTCCATCACCTCTGGAACATCGCCAGACTACGGCACTACCTCACCCCTCACGCGGCTGAAACTCGGGTCCACGCCTTTATCACCTCAAGGCTGGACTACGGGAACTCTCTCCTCGTCGGCCTTCCGGCACCGCCCTCCACAAGCTGCAGGTCATTCAGAACTCTGCAGCTCGTGTACTGTCCCGCACCAGGCTTCGCAACCACATCACTCCCACCCTCGCTCGCCTCCACTGGCTCCCCATCCCCCAGAGGATCGAATTCAAGATACTCATCCTCACCTACAAGGCCATTCACGGCCTTGCACCCTCCTACCTCTCCGACTTACTATCCCCCTACTTATCTGCCCGTACCCTCCATTCCTCTGGCTCCGGTCTGCTCCACATCCCCCACCATAACCGCCCTACCATCGGTGGCCGGGCCTTCAGCCTCTCAACCCCCAGGCTCTGGAACTCCATCCCCCAGTGCCTTCGCTGCCTCCTCCCTTTCCTCCTTCAAGGCCGGTCTCAAGACCTTTCTCTTTGACCGTGCCTTCAGCTCCTCTCGACTCTCTACCCCCTCCTCGCTCCCTCCCTTCCCTCCCCTCACCCTGATCATTTCCCCCTTCTCGGGTCCTGACCCAACTGTCCAGCGCCTTGGGACGTCCTCCCGACATGAAAGGCGCTCTATAAATGCAATCTTCTTGTTGTGGAGGGATTTATAGACTAGAATGAGGATCTTGGTTGATCCGCTCTGTGACAGAGAGCCAGTGGAGTTTGGCAAGAACTGGAGTAATCGGGGTATGAAGTTTGGTGCGGGTGAGAATGTGGGCAGCGGAGTTTTAAGTGAGCTGAATTTTGTGAATAGTGGAGGACGGGAGACAGTTGAGGAGGGCAGTGTGGTGGAGGTGGAAGAAAGTGGTGCTGGTCAGGGATTGGATGTGGGGGAGGAAGTTGCACATGGGTTCGAAGAGTTTTAAGGACAGTTCGGGTAGGTTGACGAGGTCGGAACCATGGGACAGAAGATATTGGTGGGAGCCAAAGAGTATGGCTTCCGTCTTGTTGTTTTTCCGTCTTTACTACTTGTTCTGCGTCTCCCAGTCTATATGAAAATTAAAAGATCCCATTATAATCACATTGCTTTTGCTATGTGCTTCCCTGATTTCTATACCTCCCCCCCCACACACACACACTATATCACTACTATCTGGAGGTCTGTGGCCAACTCCTACCAGAGTCTTACCTCCTTTGCTTTTCTTTAATTCTGCCCATAGTGTTTCCATGGCTTGATTACCCTTACTGAAACCTTTTGTTTCTACTGCTGTAATTGTCTTCATCAGTCTTGCTATTACTTTCTAAAGATCTTATAGCCTGGAATATTTACTCTCAGTCATGCCCAGCTTGTAGCCAGGTCTCTGTAATGGCTACCACATCATAGCTTTTTGAGCCCGCATGAAACCGACCACCTGCTCCCTCGACCCCTCCCTACCCCTCTCCTTAACTCCCATCTGCACCTCCTTGCCCCTCTATTCACAGACATCATAAATGCCCTGTCCACTGGCACTGATCCCACCCCTCTAAAAACGGTCGTCATCACTCCTAACCTCCACACCTCAATTTTGTTGTTTTTAATATGAATTTGTGTTTCTAACTCACTTGTTTTATTCATTATGCTACATGCATTTATGTACAGAACTCTTACTCTGGTAACTGCCCATATGCCCTGACGGTGTTTTTCTCATACTTTTTGACTTGTCACACTTCTTGTGATTACGTCCTATAACCTTTTTTCTTCCCATTGACCTTGCCAATAACCATAGGCTGCAGATCATCCAGAAAAATAGGAAGTAACTTGCCATGTCATGGCTGTTTGTGAGAGATTGCTGCATGTACATTGGATATTGCATTTCCTACAAACAATGTTTAAAGGATTTGTTCTGAATTGCCTGCCTTATTAGTTGATAGTATTGTGTTTTTCTAGCGTTGCAGGAAATTGTTTTATCAAATTGAATCCCTTCTCCTAGATTGATGGCATTCAGTGAGAATGAATTCACTTTCATAAGACAAGATCTTTGATTTAGAGAATATTTGGGTAGAAAATGTTTTTCAGTAGAGTTAGGGTTCCGCTACATTTGCCCTTCCCTTTAATTTTTTTGTGAGAAAATTGTATATTTTGCCCTGCCTTATTTCAAAGGGATATATCCCTCAAATATTTTTCTGTAGTAGGTGAAGTGTAACCTATGTTCACAGAATGCTAATGTAATAGAAACTGAAATCTTAAGTAAGCTCATGGGAATATCACAGACGTTGTCTAGGTATACACTATTGTATTATCAGTACTTATGACTGAAGAAAAATTAAGATATTGTACTCGATTTTAGCTGTCTAAATTGTTTCAATCTATGTAGACATGTAGGTGATCTGGGCAATGTAGAAGCTAATGAAAATGGCGTTGCCATATTTGAATTAGAAGATCGACTTCTGCGCCTAACAGGAAAACATAATATAATTGGACGATCAGTAGTAGTAAGTATTAAAATTTTTAATTTTGGGCACTCACTGTGTATTGTCAATCCATAGAATCATGACATGTTTATGTGGCCCATAAAGCCATGCAATGTTTACGTGGGTATTTTGTTCAACCTCTGGGGAGAAGTCAGGCTTGGCTGTGACTCCCGCTAAAGTTAAATAGCTGCCAACATTCACTGCCAAGGATCATCTATGATGGCTTGGGAGGGGTACTGAGGACAACCAGCATTGCGGAACTGCACCCCAGCAACAGGAGAACAGCAGAGAGGCAAATGTCAGTGGGGACAAAATTAAAAAAATAATTAGTCATGCACTAAAAATGTTGGTAACATGAAAAATGAACTGTTGAGTTAGGTATTGATCCATTGCATCAATAATGACAGATGTAGAACTGAACTTGTGTGAAGTGCTTTGAGACATCCTCCCCACATTAAAAGTGCGAAATAAATGTAAGTTGTTGCTTATTGCCACTTTGTCTAGATTGTACACCTTCTGACATTAACATTATCTTATTTCGAGATTGTAACGATCAAAGATCAAAAAGTGAGATAAGTTATGAATATAATGAATTTTATAAAAATAGTCTGGTGAGTGAGCTTACACTGAAATTGTCTGAGGGATTTCTGTTGTGCTGCTTAAGGTTCAACCATGGAGGAAAAGCCACAAATGATCCACTATTTAGCAGCAACATGCTTTTAAAATCAACAGAAAGTTTGTTTTTCCCCTCTGGGAAAGGGCAGCCATTGGGATTCATTTTGATTTGTTTTAGAAGGGGGTGAATTCTCTGGTAGTTGAGAATAAGTTCAGACCTGTTAAAGGTGGGAAAAGTTTGATGGGAGACACTGGTGCAGTTACAGTGTGGTAGGAATAATAGAATCATAGAATCAAATAAAAACATACAATTTTTTTTTATCTCACTAGCTTCACTATACACTGAAATCCCTGAATAATTGCAACCATATATTTAAAACTATGCAGCTCTTAATTTGCCTCAAATAATGTAAATCAACATTGCATTCCATAGGGTTTTTTAAAAAATAAGTAATTATTCTGAGATTGTTTGATAACTTCATAACTTTGTTGATATTTTATTCTAAAATCTTTTAGTGGAATATAGAGATACTGGTGTATCTTTTTTCCTTTATAAAGGTTCATCAGAATGAAGATGACTTGGGTAAAGGTAACAATGAAGAAACCCACATAACAGGAAATGTTGGAGAAGGAATTGCCTGGGGTATAATTGGAATAGATAACTAAATATGTGTCCCAAAAGTCTAACTGCACTGTTTGTAGTGTTGTTAGTAGATTTAAATTTCTCCATTGTTATTGAACAGCAACTGGTTCAAAATGGGTTTTTAAAATAAATCTGTCTGCTAGTGTGGCATGTTTTAGAAATGAAACTTTTTTTAAAACAAATTAAGGTTTCCTTTGACATCTCTTTGACTTTTATTTTTTTAATTTGAATGTGTGATAAGTTACGAAGTCCAGCATGTACACAGATAGAAACAGCATAATTTAGTTAATTGCATTATACTGTTGAATTTGATCAATCTTTTAAACTAATAGCAAAATATTATTTAAACAATGAAAGGGAACAGTATATTGATCATAAGATCTCTTGATCCTATTCAAAGAAGTGAACTTCTCCTGATACCTGGTCAACAAGCCTTCTAGTTAATTGATTATTCATCTTATGGCTGTTGAGACCTTATTGATGTGAAATGGCAACTGCATTTACCTGGAAAAAAGCTCCCATACTTGTGGTGTAATTTGACATTTCCAGTCTGATGAGATGGTATACCAATGCAACTTATTTTTACTGTCATAATGGGTCAGTTTTTTTAAAATAAGAGTCCTCATTGTATAACTCCCATCTTTAACTAATATTGAAAAGTACATGCTGTTCATATTAAAATGTTCAACTGATTTTACAAGACTATTTTAAGCTTAAATATTTGAGTCCACCATATTTTTTAATGCATGTAATAGATACAAATATTTATCTGTAAAAGACAAATAAAAGCTCACATTGCAGTTTGTCATTTGGTTCATGTTTGTAAATTACATCAAATTGTCTTCATTCTTGAAATTTAATGGTCCACATCCACATACTGCTGGAATGAGTTTATCCAGTGGATTGGATGAGGGCAAAAAAAAATTAAGCATACTCCATTTAAGAAATGTTAATATCAAATTTGACTCTCTTCTATCCCTCTTCATGCAGGAATATGTGTGCCTTTAGTGTTTTTTCGTTCTATTCTGACCTCCTCAACCTCTCCGTTCTATCCCGCAGACTTACCGAGCCAGTGCACAATCTAGGCGTCAGGTTCGATCCACAGCTGTCCTTCCTTCCCCACTGCCTTCGTCCACCTTTGCCACATTGCCTGCCTCCGACTGTACCTTATCTCAGGCACAGCCAAAACACTCGTCCATGAGTTCGTCACCTCCCGACTCCAAATGCGCTCTTTTCCGGTTTCCCTAGTTCCATCGTGTACAGGATCCAGCTGATTCAAAACTCCTCCGCCAGCATACTCGCCCGACTAAACGCTCTACCCCTATCGCACCAGTTCTAGCCTGGCTCCCTATCGCCGAATGGATCGCTTTCAAGATGCTCACTCTCGTGTTCAAATCCCTTCATGCCCTGGCACCTCCCTACCTCCACCTGCTCACCCCAAGGCACAAGCAGCTGCCTCCACTGACTAGCTCCTGCCTTCTGCATGTCGCTCATGCCCTCCGTTTCACCATTGTTGGCCACACTTTCAGCCACTATGCCCCGAAACTCTGGAACACACTTCCTCTATCCCTCCACATTGCCCCTTCCTTCTCTATCTTCAAGTTGCGCCTGAAGACCTTCCTATTCGACCATGCCTACAGTCACTCACCTCTCCCTGGCTCAGTTTTGTGCGCCGCCATTGTCGAGCGCTCTGGGATGCTACCCTGCATGAGGGACGCTATATAATGCAAGTTGTGTTTTTGTCAGGATTAATTAAAAATCACAAACATCCAGCTTTTTGTCTCAACTGAGTTCCCAAACCAGAGTTCCATGTATGCCACTTAAACATGGATAGGGTTATCCTAGCTGATCAAACTAGGAAGCTTGCCATCAAGAACACTAGCAAGTTATGTGGCTTTAGCAGGTTAAACTCCAGCAGTACCACAATTTGTATGCTGGGGTTCCCAAGCCTTTGATTTTTGCAACCTCCACCTATTATCGTTTACCACATTTTAAAGTAACTTATTAAAGGGAGTTGAGATGTTTTATCAAATATGCTGTATTATATGCAAGTAGTAGTGTTGAAGGATAAGCAGAGATCAAATCATTGATAGTTTCACTATCAAACTCACCCAAACTTCTTTCTGCTTCCATCAGACAGTTTATCTGCCAATCTGTTGATTTTTTTGGTAGAAGCTAGCTCATAATGAACATGGCAGAAAAAAAACATTTAGTTTACAAAATGTCATTTGGACTGCAACCACCAGTAGTTAATTTAGAGTGTCTTCACATTAATCAATTCCAACACACCAATTTGTTTACGATCCTATGACTGATGTTAATGGACAGCTAAACATACCTTAAAAGAAATATAGCAATTTTAATGCTTTAGTGACACATCGGGATTCAGACCTGGCCCTGTGGCAAACAACCTTTTAGGTTGTCAGCTTGGCTCATTTGGTAAGATTCTCATCTGGGTTCTGAGGTTTAATGTTGGTCAGCCGGATGTCTGACACATGCAGAAATGAGCAACATGCTTAAGAGTAGCCAAATGTAAGTTCCACGTATGATACTTACTCATGGAAATTACTGAGTTTGGAAATGGACACTCCCAAGAGGAATAATCCTGCTTACCTAATTCTGGAGTATATTAGGCACAAATTAGCAAGAGCCAAGGCTTGGGCCTCCACTGTGCATTGGAGTACTGAACTGCTAGAGGTTAACCAGCTAAAACCACAATAGCTGGTCACTGAAAGCAAAGTCCAGTAAGCTTCCTGCAATTTGTTGTTGCGTGTCCAGCTAGGACCACCTTACCCAATAGGGCTTTGACTTGCAGGGTTAACAGGAGTTGAGTGGGAAGAATCCCTGCCAACAGACATATTGGCATTTGGTTTGCATTCTCTGCTGCCATACTAGTTTATTACTGGAGGGTGTACTGTGATGTCTGAGGTGCTGTCCTCTGGAAGAGACAAACTGAAGTCCTTCAGTGTGTTCTTCTGGTGGATATTAAAGATCCCATGACTATTTGTGTCACTAGCCAGGATTCACCCTTGTACTGGGTGCCAAAAACAGGAAAGTATTTATTTACCAATAGTAACAACCCTAGTCTTGCAGCCTGTCAGAATGTTTGCATATATTGTATTGCTGCCTAGTAGCCTATAAAAGGCATTATCCAGCTGAATAGAGTAAATTCTATTTTTAGCAAACATAAGTTTAATTCTGGCATTTAAAGAGGAAAATTGATAGTACTGTAGCTTTTGTTACACATGCCTCATATTGTACAATTCTTGATGTATTGAGATAATTACTAACAGCTACCGTACAAATATCATACCCAAAATCTCCCATCTAGACAGGTCTAAATTCCAAGATTTCTTAGAATTTTTTAAAATAAGGAATCCAAATCAAATCGAACCCAAACGTGGCTGAGTGTTGATTGTAAAATAGTAGAAAAATGTAATGCTAAGTATACAGGACAAACTCTCAGGGTGGTTGATGCTCCTGGCCCGTTGCTTCAGGGATAGTGAGTTACACTCAACAAATCTTTACCTGAGGAGAAATAGATACCAGACTTGGGGGCGGCGAGGTAGGGAGAAGATAGGAAAGAAACTAACCTAGGCAATGATATAAAGCTGGATGGGTGGGGTGGGGGCGAAACTATTTATAAGCCAAAGAGACACCAGGATCTTACTGCATAATTATTTTCAATAACAATCACAAGGTTAATTTAGCTTGCGGTGGACATATTAACACTGATACTTTGTTCATTCAAAAAGTTAAGTGATATACTGCAAACAAATCAATATATTTCTTACATGTGTATTGTACACCAACTGTTGACTACACCAACTCTGTTTGCCAGACTTCCGAATTCTTCCTTACAAGCTGCAGACCATTCAAAACTATAGCTAGTGTCTTCTCCTGCATCAGGCTCCGTGAGTCTATCACCCCAATCCTTGCCTGGCTCCACTGGCTCTCCATCCCCCAAAGGATCAAGTTCAAGATCTTCATCCTGACTTTTAAATCCCTCCAGCCTTGCTCCTCCCCATCTCTGTGACTTCTATAACACTACCAGTTTTACCTGCTCAGTCGGCTTGGCTCTGGCCTGCTTCACATCCTCCGCTCTCCCTGCACCACCATCGGTAGTCAGGTCTTCGTTCAGCCTTTCTGCCCCCCACTCTTTAGAACTTAATGTCTGAGTCTCTTTGCCTCACCCCTTCCCTCAATTCCTTCAAGGTCAGTCTTATAATGTTTCTCTTTGATCCCAACTTGGTTATCTTCCTGCCTTCCACCCCTCCCGAATCCAAACCCAGGTCAGGTGCAAACCCTTAACTTTCCAGCACCCTGGGATGTACTATTGAAAATATGTGAAAGATGCTATATAAATAACTTCTTGTACTGCTGAATGAATGTTGTTTCTACCCTGTAAACTCCACAGCTGCAGGTAGTGTCAATAATTTTGATCTTTCATCACCCCAGTTGTTACTTGTTCTGGGTATGTGATGGCACGTGTAAGTAGCAGCTGGTATACCTGTTTTACTCCAAGCATTAGCGTAGGCCCTGTCACAATGGGTTCAGATGAAAAAAGCCCTTCGGCCCATTTGACTTCCTTTCCAACAATTTTCCCATTAGACTCATTAAAAAAAAAAGGATCTATTGTCTCAACTTTCCTCAACCATTCTTCTTTAGAGTGCTCTGAATACTCACTGATCTATGCAAGCCCCAAATTGCATGTTCCTGTAAGGATTCTGAATTCTCTCATTGCAACCTTTTTTGTAGAATGTAAACATTAGTGCACCAATGGAAGCAAAAGCACCATCAATTTATGCTTGAAATGAGGGCCACTAAAATCTGCATACAGTACACCTGTAAACATCGTTTGGAATTCTCAGCCATCTGGCCCTACTTCATTGTCCAAAATTGCTAACCCTGCTTTGGTGCCAGGCTGGCTCAACCGGCAGCATTTTCATCTCTGAGTCAGAAATGCTGTTAGTTCAAGCCCGACTTTGGAACTTTGAACTCAGTCTAGACTAACACTCCCAATTCAATGCTGGAAGTGTGCTGTATTGTCAGAGATGCCATCTTTTGAACGATTAAACTGAATCCTGTCTGACTGTTCAGATGGACGTTAAAGATGTCACGGCACTATTCAAAAAGAGAAGGGAGTTTATCCCTGTGTTCTGGCCAGCAATCACCCAAATAAAATTGGTTATTCACTTCATAGCTGATTGTGGGTCATAGCTGTGTACAAATTCGCTGCCGCATTCACTTATAAAATACAGTTCCTACACTTTACAGTACATCCTGTGAAGTGCCTTTAGGATGTCTTCTCGAGGTGAAAGATGTCAAATGCAAGCATTACTATATTATTAACCCTGTATTCCCAATGCTTCAACATTACTACTAATCTACGGGGAATGTTTGAGATGGTGACAAGTTGGTTCTTGGGTGTATTTCTCCCAAGAGAACAGATGATCAGTAGAAATGCACATCTGTATATTTCCTCAATACAAGTGCATTAGGTCACAACATAACCAAAATGTTCAGATGAAGACCTCTTACCTTATGTGACTCAATCATCCAGAATATCGACTATTTCCTATGACAGTATCTAGCTGTTTCTTAAATAACTTAAATGTCCTGACCTAAATTGTCCTAGCTGTTGGTTATTCACTGTGAAATATTTTCTGTAGACAGTCCTAAACTTGCTCTTCACAATCCTAAACCTATCACTGTGCATCTTTTAATACTGTTCTGGGTTCTCTAGTTTCCCAATCCCCTATATCTATAATATTCTGCCCGAGAAAGCGCTGAACCATAAAGCCATAGCTTATCTAATCGATTCTTATACCTCATCCGTTTGAGACCATTTTTGAATATTTGTGTTATTGCACTGGTCAAGACTGCTCTAGGATTTATATGATTCACTTTTAATCATCAGAACTGTACATTTCAGATCAAACCTCACCAGAGCAATGAACCGCTTCAACATAATTGCTTGGACTTGAATTCTACCAATTTGGTAATTTAGCCCTAAGAACAACAAGATTACATTTGTATAGCCCCAGCATCCTGTTCAATTTATTTCTTACTTCCTCAGCTCCATTTCTATTTTCCTCTAAGCAAGTTCCATCTCATTCATGGAGCAGATCAATGTTTGCAGTACCTTGTTGATATAAATGGTTGCCTACAAAACTCACTACAGTTGAAATTAATTACCATGAAGTACTTTGAGACGTTGGCATAAGGCACTATAAAAATGCAATTCTTCCTTTACAATGTACTTCATTTTTCATATATAGGAATTTTGCATTTGTCATATTTGATTTGATTCTGTCAGTTATCAGCTAAGAAAGATTGTAGTATTGTGGCTGCTTCTTTGCAGTTCCCACTTGCTCCATTTTGGGGTTTTGTAACAATTTAAAGTCCTGGTTCCTGCTTCCCACTAAGGGCTTGCCCTGCACCAGTCGGTTGTCTCAGCAGTTAACACTGCAATCCAAAACCTTAGAAGGTTGAGTGGCCCTAGTTCAGTGGTGGCCGAACAAATATATTTTTCTTGATTTAATATTTAATGAATTATGGCCACACCATAAATATCACTATTCAGTAGCTACTGGAAACAAACTATTGTTTTAACACACACTTACCAAGACTAATGTGAATGTTCGACGAGCCACTTCTTGATGCACCATTGGTTGGCCACCACTGTCCTCGTTGGACAAGCAGCAGGAAGTTTGTGTATAGAATCTGCATCTTTGTGACAACCTTCAGTTTATCTTCTAGTAAATATACAGTCCACATATAATGGGATAGTTATCAGATTTCTGTATTATATTCTTTGCATTTGGAACAGCACCGTAGCACTTTGAGGGGATGCTTCAAAGCACTTCACAGGAGTTACTGATGGACTGACTGCATTTTCGAGGCAAACGTGGCAGCACAATTGTACACAGCAATGTCTTCCAAACAGATTATATTCAGGCACATCTCCTTTCGCTATTAATGTTGTCTCAGCTAACATGAGTGTTAACAGATTTGAACACTACTAATTTAAGAAAAAAATGCACTAGATGTTAAGGTGAAGTGGTAAAAGTTACTTACCTTCAAAATGGAACATCCTCAGAAAGATACTACTAAAATGAACTCAGCAGCAGAGGAATCCTAGCATCACATCCCATGTTAAAATATTAAATGTAATGAAATGAGGAGCATTATACACTGCCATCAAGAGTACTCCCCATTACTATGAAGGACTTCTAAACAATCAGATATAGATACATTTAAATATCATACGTTTCAATTTTTGCAATATCAACATAAGAAAGCACCTACCATTTGGGCTTTTCTCAGTTCCACTACTTGCTTTAACACTTGGTTGAATAGATCACTGCTTTTTGGGGGAGGAAAGGAAAGAGAAGGGAATAAATTATTTTTATGTGAGAATTCACAGCAATGGATTTGTGGTAGGGTGATGTGATCCACGGTAGAGCCATTGTAATATACTAAAACTACCTTCATTGCACGATTGGTATAATTTGCTAAGCCACACCAGTCGTACAATTAATGATTTTTCACAAGCAATTATCCCCAATATTAGTACAAGTGCAGCTTATTAACATGTACAAAGAAAATGTTCTGTGTTTTTTAGAAATACTCCACTTGCTCCACACTAATCTATCTAAGCAATGTCCTCATTGGATCAGCCGGATATTGATTCTGGTCACATCAACACTATTCATCCTACTACAAACATCCCAAAATTAAGTCTCTGTGACTATTTCTACAAACACTTTCTCCTCTAATCCACAAAAAAAATGCACTCCACATCTACGTTAATATCCTATGACCTACTTGGAAGTTTAATTGATTTTGTTATGGTATTTTAGTATTTTCCAAAAAATGTTTTGTTTTCAGGTGTATTCTTACTAGACTGCCACTCAAGCATAAGGGTTGATGACATAAACAACAACTTGCATTTATATAGCGCCCTTCACGCAGGGTAGCGTCCCAGACCGCTTCTAACATTGCTGAATTTCAGCAAACAATACCGTTAAATGTGTTTTGTCCATTTTTAACACTTCGAGGTACACCAAATACACCCAATATGTGAATTTGGTTCCAAAGACAATGATTAGAATAGAGCATTTTGTTTCTTAGTTTTGTCTTCGTCATATGGAAACTTTCCCTTCCAACTGATGATTACTTGTTTGTAATAATACAAAAACAAAATTGATCCCACCAATATGAATCAGCCTTAAGTATTTTGCTTAAACAAAATCAAATGTAAATAAGACAGAAACATTGTGATCTTGGATATGTTTCACATTACTTTGATGTCTTACTTTTTTTTGCCATGTTCCTTTAAATGAATCAAACAGTTGTCTTGTGAACAAATGGGTACGTTAATTTCTGTGGTAAATGTTTTTGAATTAAAATTGAAACATTTGCACAGCCATATACAGTATTAACAAATCTAAAACCACATTCAACTTAACTGCAACATTATTGGTAAACATATGATTATTTTTATGTAACTGTTAGCATCTAAAACAGAAGAAAAATCCAGAAAACTGTTACTTTTAAGAAACAGTCTGTATTTCAGGGAAATGAACAAATAAACTTTCAAGAAACGTTCTAAAACAAAGTACTATTCAGACCATTGGTTTCCTGATCTTGTGTGGGCAACTTTATAATTTCTATACATCACCAGTGAAACACTAATATTTTTATAATACACGTTGCAAAGCAATCTGTCTTGGGCTCTGTAGTTGGTTGTCCAAAAGCAATTTTTTTTTTTTTTAAGAACACATACTAATAAGAGTCTAATTTAGACTTGCTTCCAATATAGAAAACATCAAACTTTAGGGTGTTTTATAACCTTATTCTTCCATTCCATGACATTCTTTTCTCCACAAGTCCGAGGAAGAATATCACACGCTCTAAAGTTTGTTAAGAAAATAGAGTTTATTAAAAACAAATCCCTAAGCTCAACTGTTGGGAGGAGCTTTCACCTTTTTTTAAATTAAAAAAGAATAGAAAGTACTTCTACCTTAGGTCAAAATTTTAAAAAGGTACAGAAAAAATGTGATCATTTTTCTTTCTTGTCATCAGGGGTTCACGCTTTTGAGTAAATTGTGTGGCCATTTTGAATACTGGGGAAAGCAAACAGTTTGCTTAAAATCTTCCTTTAAAAACTAGACAGGATTGTGGGAGAGCAGAAGCAAATACTTTATACATCATTTTTATACAACTCTAAAGCTTCATAACACAATAATGTGGTGCATGTGTGAATTATCACCACATCATGTGTTTTATTATAATTAGTTTCAAATCACTGAGCCTCATTAGTTGTGCCTGAATTTTCTGTTTCAGGTTGTTTTGTAGATGAGGCAGGCTCCATTTCCACCATCTCTGTGGCTTTCATATATGTGGCTTTCATATCTGTATTCAGTGACTCAGATTCTTCTTTAGCAGACTCAGCTACTGGGTTTATATCTAACGGTTTAATTATTTCTTCTTGTGTGTCTCCATTAGATCTGAGGTCTTTTTCACTCTCCTCATCAACTGAAGCTTCAGGCTTTTCCTTGCCACGCTGATCCACATCTCGATCTCTACGAGATTCTTTCTCTCGAGAATCTCTATGTCCACTCGACCACCTGTTTCTTTCCTCTGAATCTCTAGATCTGTCTCGTTCAGAGCTTCTCCTGCCCCATTCCCATCTCTCACGACCACCACTCTGACGCTCATCTCGATCTTCTTGTCGATTTCCATAACGATCACGATTGTCAGATTCACTTCGGTTTCCACCAAAAGACCGATTTCTGAATTCCGATCTACCAAAACGTTCTTGGTCTCGATCTCTTCCTGGAGGAAATCCATGCCTGTCATTCCTAAACTGTCTTCCATCCCTATCTTCAGCTGCTGAAGGTCGGCCATAAAGATTTTGGGGTGGAAAGGGACCTCTTACACCATGAGGTGGAGGTACTCCAAATCCACCTGGGCCTGGAGGTGGCGGACCTCTATGCATCAAATGTGGTAATAAAGGTCTGGGAGGAACAACAGGAAATCTTTGCAGATGAGGTGGTGGAACACCAGGAGGACGCTGTAGAGGTATCAAACCAGGCCGTGCTCCCAAAAGACCAGGACTCGGTGGTTGGACATTTGTTACCGGGGTGTGAGAGGTTCCACCTTGATTTCCTGAAAATCATATACACAGAATTATACATTAGACAAAATTATTAATAAGGCAAATTTTGGGTGTTGAGGATAAAAACTTACATGGCTTAAAATTTAGAAATCATTTTATAAATATGGAAGTTGCTTTCTCAAGTAAATTGTGAGAAAGTTGAAATGTGTTAAGTCGAACCCCCCCCACCAATTGAATAAACAAAATAGAAATCAAATATATGTCATGTGGGGTACACCAAATGCCGAATACCTTGGGTATTGGGTATGGCATACCTTATTCTTTGGGTGCAAGTCAATTTCCACAGTGCTCCTTAAAGAGTTTAATGCATGCTCAACCATAATCTATTACCTGCCTTCAATTATGTGGTCACAGGCTGACAACATATCTGTTTTCTCAAAATAACAAGGCAGAAGGAGATTACAAAGATAGGAAGGTGCAAAATTGTGAAAAGATTTGAAAGTCAGGATGAAGAAAGTTGCTCTTTTGCAGAACTGGGAGGCAGTTGAGCTTGGGGAGGATGGGGTTGGTGAGTTGCAGAGTGTGGTGAAGCAGTGAATACAGGTGCGTAGTTTATTGTGAGGGTGAAGTACGGACGAGGATTTTGGCTGCGTGGGGGTGAACCGAGGAGGAGAAAAAAAAAGAGACAAGGACATGAGCAGGCTATGTTCCAGAGACTGAAAGGAGTTTTAGTCAAGTACAGGTTAGTCAACTAACACAACCAGAGTGAGCAATCAGGTTGATGTGAGTCAGAGATAAAGGTAAGAAGGAATCTTCAGTTCTGTTGATGCTATGCTGAAGAAAAATTGGGTTCACACATGACCTTACATCTGATAGGCAACTGGTCAGTAGAGGTGGAGAGGTAGAGCTTGTGATCAGCGTAAGTTTACAGACTGGCTGATGCATACATATGATGGGTAGCATAGGGATAAAAGTAGAAGAGGATCAAGGATAAAACCCTTGTCATAAGTGTTCATACACTCACAGAAAGAAAAGCCATTAAAAGACAAAATAGTGAGGATATTAGAACATAAGAACATAAGAATTAGGAGCAGGAGTAGGCCATTCAGCCCCTCTAGCCTGCCCCACCATTCAATAAGATCATGGCTGATCTATTCTAACTCCACCTACCCACCTTCTCCCTATATCCCTTAATCCCTTTATCCACAAGAAATCTATCAATCTCAGTCTTGAATATGCTCAAGGACTGAGCATCTACAGCCTTTTGGGGTAGAGAATTCCATAAATTCACTACTCTCTGAGTGAAGAAGTTGTTCCTCAACTCAGTGCGAAAGGGCTAATTTTGAGACTGACCCCTGGTTAGAATTTCTCTAACCAGCGGAAAAAGTCTCCCACTATCTATTCTGTCGTGTCCCTTAATAATCTTATAGGTTTTTATAAGATCACCTCTCATTCTTCTATATTTTAGAGAATGTAGGCCTAAATTGCTCAACCTATCCTCATAATTCATCCCCTCATCCCAGGTACCAACCTAGTGAATCTATCATTAGCCCCTTGGTTCATCTCTATTTCTGGTAAACTTCTTGTGTCTTCTAATGAGAAGACAAAAGCAAAGTATTTATTGAGGGATTTTGCCATATCCTTATTCCCCATTATAATTCCTCCTGTCTCTGCCTGTAATGGACCCACATTTACTTTTGCTAGACTATTTCTCTTAATGTATTTATAAAAACTCTTACAATCTGTCTTAATGTTCCTAGCCAGCTTGCCCTCATAATCCATTTTCTCACTCTTAATGAGCTTTTTGTTTTTCCTTTGTTGGTCCCTAAAACACTCCCAGTCCTCAGGTTTGCTACTCTTTTTGGCAGTTTTATAGGCCTTTTCTTTTAGTTTTATACTTTCTCTAACTGCTCTAGTTAGCCACAGATGAACTGCTTTCCTTGTGGTACTCTTATTCCTCAAGGGAATATGTGACCGCTGAGAATTTTGCATTACATCTTTAAACGTTTGCCACTGTTGGTCTATTGTCATATCCATTAATCTAATTCCCCAGTCTATTTTAACTAATTCCTCCCTCATACCTGCAAAGTTAGCTTTATTTAAATTTAAGACCCTTGCTTCGGATTTGACTACATTGCTCTCTAACTTAATACTAAATTCTATCATGTTATGATCACTCTGCCCTAGAGGAGCCTTAATATCTATATTACCGACTAGCCCTGTTTCGCTACTCAAAACAAGGTCTAGTATGGCCTGTTCCCTAGTTGGTTCCTCAGCATATTGCTCCAGAAAGCTATCTCTCATACATTCTATAAACTTCTCCTTTACCCTACTTTTGCCGATTTGGTTTTCCCAATCTATGTGAAGATTGAAATCACCCACTATTACTGTATTACCTTTGCTACATGCTCCTCTAATTTCTTGATTAATACCCTGCGCTATGCTGTGATCACTGTTTGGGGGTCTATAAACTACTCCCACTAATGTTTTCTGCCCCTTGTTATTTCGTAATTCTACCCATACCATCTCTACATCCTGGTTATCTGATTTGAAATCCTTCCTCTCTTAATGTTTTTATTCCATCCTTTATTAACAAGGCTACCCCCCCATCTCATTTTCCACATTGTCTATCCTTCCTATAAGCTGAAAAACCCAGAATATTTAACTCCCACCCTAGATCTCCCTGTAACCATATCTCAGTAATGGCTACTAGATCATACCTGTTTGTATCTATCTGTGCCTTTAATTCATCTATCTTATTTCGAATGCTTCGTGCAGTCAGATATAGCGATTTTAATTTCTTACCATTTCCCCTACTCTCTGCTGCCCTATCTTCTTTACTGAGCTTCTTACCCCTCTTTGACCTATTGTGTTTATCTCTCTTGCTATTCTGTTCTGCCACCTTTAGTTTTCTTAATATTGCGAGCTTGCGATTATTTCTAATTGTATCCCTGCCCCCTTTACTAGTTTAAAGCTTTATTTACCTCCCTATATATTCAGTTTGCTAGGACATTTGTCCCAGCCCAATTTAAGTGGAGCCCATCTTTTTGAAATAGACCCCTTTTCCCCCAATACTGGTGCCAGTGGCCCATAAAATGAAACCCCTGCGTTCCACACCACTCCCTTAGCCATGCATTTAACTCTCTAATTTGCTTCTTCCTGTACCAATTTGCACATGTCAAAGGCAACAATCCTGCTATCACTACCTTTGATGTTCTTTGTTTTAATTTTGTTCCCAGCTCCTTGAACTCCCTCCTCAGATCATCACAACTAACTATGTCAATGGTACCTATGTGAAGTACCACCAATGGATCCTCGCCCTCGTGTTTTAGATTCTCCTCCAGCCCCGCCGAGACGTTCTTCACCCTGGCCCCAGGAAGGCAACAGAGCCTTCGGGTCTCCTGGATGCAGCTGCAGATAAGTGTATCTGTCCGCCTGATAGTCTCGTCCCCAATTACTACAACTTTCTGTTTGTTTCCCCTAATAATACGTTTTCCTTCCTCCTCACAGGCTTCCTTGCCCACACAGGTTGCAAGGATCTCGTACTGTTGGCCAAGGTTAAAGCCTGAGGCTTCACTACCACTCTCTCTGGTGTTCCCTTAACCTCCTGCCTGTCAGACACCCTATCCTGTCCTTGACTGATACTATTCTCTATACTTTCCCTGAGCTTCAGGGGAGTGACTGGCTCCAGGATGAAACTATCCAGGAAGCACTCACTGTCCCTGATGCTGCGCAATGTCAGCTCTGAGCTGGAGCTGCCTCAGTTGCAGACATTTGCTGCAGATGTGTCTCTGCTCCTGACATGTAGAAGCAAGAATGTGCAAAACCATGGAGTTGAATAAGAAGAGACTATGAAAGAGAATAGACTGGCTAAATCAGTTTATGGTCAGAGGGTGAGGAAAAGTGGGAGTCTTAGATTATAGAGAAGTTAAACCATCATCTTAAGAATGATTGATGTCTCCACTCAATTTAAGTTCAGAAAATCAGGCAGACAACCTTGTATAACAAAAGGTCAGTAATAATAAACTACTATTCGACTATATAGATCTAACCTGTGTTGTATTGTCTGAAGGGGCCACCAGCAAAAGCAGTCATGGAGTGTGGTCCTTCTTGATCTATATATAAGTGTGGTGGGAGGAGAGAATAACAATCAAGTATTACTTAACAAATCTTAAAAGGATTAAAAACAATACTATAATAGATTTCCATTAATAAGATTTAAAAAAAATCTTTTTGAAACCTGAACTGTATGCCTGGGATGAGGATAAGGAAATACTTTCACTTTAACAAGTATATTAAAATCGTAACCTCATACCGCAAAGTTGGAAAATTATATTCATGTAATACAATCACTCAATAATCTACTACATCTCATTCGTGGATCTTATTACAACAACAACAAGATTCCATTTATAGAGCGCCTTTCACGTCGGGAGGACATCCCAAGACGCTGGACAGTTGGGTCAGGACCTGAGCAGGGGGGAAATGGTCAGGGGGAGGGAAGGGAGGAGGGGGTAGAGAGTCGAGAGGGGAGCTGAAGGCATGGTCAAAGAGAAAGAGAAAGAACTGCATATAAATATTTGGAAAATATTGTCCTTTACAAATTCACCTTGTTTGCATTAATCAAACTAATATTGATGTATTGAATAATAATCAGCCTCTCCTCTTAGGGTAGGGTGATCCTAGCTAGACAAGCAGTGGGAAAGCTTGCCAAACAGTGCTATCAGTGGCAAGCTATGCGGTTTTAGCTGGTTAGACTCCAGCAATACCACAACACATACTCTGGGGCCCTCAAGCTTTGTTTTTTGCCAACCTGCGCTTAATGCTTTCTAGTATTGGATGAGGGGAACATATTGATATACCAAGCTATCATACTATTAAACTAGCAGTAATAACCCAACCACCAATTTGACTTAATTTTATTGATTGCTAGGACTTTCCCAGAGTAGAAATGCATAGGAAACAAATAATTTTGTGGAAGCTAAATCTTCATGCGATGCAAGGCATGGCTTGTCCCACACTAAAGCTTACAATTTACTACGTCTTCCCAAAAAGGCCTAAGTTTTGAAGTGAGAAATTTCTTAAGATAGAATGCAATAGTTTGACGAGTAGATAGAGAGAGGACTATAGAAATAAAGGTGATCTATAAAGTACTTGCAAAGGAAAAACTACTCATTGGTACTAAAGAAACAATCACTCTCTAATTAGACTTTCCTATCCGCATATAGTTTTATAGATTTGTAAAGGAATTGGCACATCCGAGATGAGTTACAGTACACACAAAGGAGCTGATTCAAGTGATATCCAGGAATACTCAAATTCTTTGGCATATGCTATTGGAATTCTGACTGTGAGTACGAGATTAAATGTTTTGGTTGTACAATGCATAATAAATTGATAACAAACCCAGTCAAAACATTTCCTACTGTGGGAAGCAAGAAATTGCATATTTTAGGAAAACACGAGAAAATTGAGAAATTTGTTAAAAATAACTAATTAGCTTAAACACACACAGTCAAAAAATCGGGGTGGGGAAATACAAACAACAATCAGGAGTAGCTCACTTAAGTGCTACAAACATACTGAACCATCATGTGACAAATACTACAAGGATGTTAACAGAGCCTGTATTCTTAAAATGCTATACTATTGGTAACTTGAAAATATTGAATAACACATGCAAGATGGTGATTGAACTTACATTGAACATAATCTAAATTTTCAGAAAATTCAAAAGAATATTATTTGTTGAAACTTCACTGTTGAAACTTATTCTCATATGAAGAGATTAAGAAAACAAAATAAATACCGAATCAAGTCAAAATGCTTGGAAGTGTTTTACAATTGAAAAATGTTTTACAGTAATTACTGTCAAGCATAGTGTCTTTTTGTAGGCAAAGTAATTACCCAATGTAATGACTCACACTATAGACAACTGAAATTCAAGTTGTGAGTAATAAAGATTATTTTCCTCTTCATTCCTTTAAATATAATCATGTGTTATCCTTTCTGGTTAAAAGGCTTCAATGTTAATAAATGGCATATTAACTGTAAAGAATTCAATGAAAATATAGTTAATCTTATATGTTGTCATCTACGTTAATCAATTATCCAGTCAGATGGGTATTAAAAGATTTTCCACCCACCAGCTTGGGTCTAGGAAATGGATATTTCAAGGAAGGTGAATAGTTTATGTTGAATTTCATATCAAAAGTACAAAAATAGCATTTTTTTTATTTTTAAAAAGGCCAGAAAGCTTTGATATATATTGTATACCTACATTCATCCTGGGGACCAATGAAAAGAATCAAATAGATTAAAACCAATCGAAGAAAGATATACTTCAATTGATAAATAACAGGAAAGAAAGGAAAAAAGTTAGTAAGTAAGCCAGCGAGATGGGGAGTTTGGGAACAGAAGGCAATATGCTCATGTGGAGAAGTTTAGAAGTCTAGAATTTGCACAGATTGGCTTGCATTTTTCTTTTTGCGACTCTTTGGGTAACAACGTGAAGTCAGTCCTTTGGGTTGAATATTGGCTACTCTCAGCCCGAGACCTTCAAAATTCATTCTTTGGATGAAACATTAAATCGAAGTGCCGTCTGCCTGTTCAGGGGGACGCTAAAGATCCCATGGCACTATTCGAAAAGAGAAGGGAATTTCTTCTGGTGCTCTAGATTATTATATCAAATGCAAGGATTATTATTATTCAATATTATTCTGGGCACTGAAGGTTGCATGTAGCTGCAATTTCTGACAAGACTTTCAATACAATTGTTGGAATAATCTGCAATCTTTCCCCAAATTAAATATTCTTTATAATCTGATTTGCATCAGAATCCACAGCCTACATTGATAACTAGTTCTAAGGATTAAGAGAAAATGAGCTGAAGTGTATGACTTATAGATGCTGAGTTGTCCTTCCTTCCTCCCGCACATCCGGTCCCTGACCAGCATCACTTTCTTCCACCTCCGCCACATTGCCCGCCTCTGACAATACCTCACCCCAAAAACTGTTAAAACCCTTGTCTATGCCTTTGTCACCTCTCGGCTGGACTACTTTAACGCCCTCCTCGCTGGTCTCCCCTCCTCCACTATTCACAAAATTCAGCTCATTCAAAACTCCACCGCCCGCATTCTCTCCTGCACTAAACTTTGTACCCCGATTACTCCAGTTCTGCTAAACTCCACTTCCTCCCTGTCACAGAGTGGATCGACTTCAAGATCCTCACTCTAGTGTTTAAATCCCTCCATTCCTTGGCACACCCCTATCTCTCTAACATCTTCTCTCCCCACAGCAGTACCTGCTGCCTCCACTCTACTGGGTCTGGCCTCCTCTGTGTCTCCTGAATCCTCCGTTCCACCATCGGCGGCCGTGCCTTCAGCCCCGAAACTTTAGAGCTCCCTCCCTCAACCCCTTCGTCCTCGCCCCTCCTTCCCCATATTTAAGTTGTGCCTGAAGACCTCCCTCTTCGACCTTCCCCCTCCCTCTAGCTTGGCCTCGGGATCCACCATTGTTAAGCGCTCTGAGATGCCGCCCGGCGTGGAGGGCGCAAAATAAATGCAAGCTGTTGTTGAATTAGAAGATCATGTTTGTTCCAGCTGAAAATGTTCTTAAAGGGACCAGCAGTTTTCAAGTTTTTATAACTGATTATATATACACATAGGAGTATGAAGAAAGAATATTTTTTCTAGAGTACACCTTGCCCTAATTATGTAGCCTCAAACTATATTTTATGTTGGACTTGCACATAAATATACGAACACATCATTTTTTACTCAACTAAGCAAGATGAACCAAAATAGAAACTTATGCTTACTTCATTCTAACATACTGTCAGCAACAATTTAAGCTCATTTTTAAAAATGTAATCAAGTGCAATTTTTAAAATGTAATTAAAATGCTGAAAACTGCCTAAATTTCAAAATAATTTCAAACAAAACTACATAGCATATGAGAACAACAACTTGGATTTATATAACGCCCTCCTCGCTGGACAGCGTCTCAGAGCACTTTAACATACTATATGCAAAGAAAGGATTGTTTCAACAGATATTATGTAAAATACTATAATTGGGGTAAAATAGAGGTTGATCAAATATGTAATTATTCTGAGGCATAATGATGTTCCCATCAATTGAATTAAGGCCATACTTCATATACCTAACATAAAGTCTCGATAACAAACATTGCTATATATTTTCCCTATTTACCCTTTCTAAAATTCGAAGGACAGGCGTAGCTAGTTTTGGACAGATTGGATTGTGTCAGCCCCCAGCCCTGGGTTTTGTCTCTGCACAGTTCCAAAACATTTGGCATCAGACACTAAGGTAGGGATCGAGTTCTCATTAGAATTATTTGCATTATCTTCCAGGGAACCCAATGGTACTGCTGAATAAAATTATATCTTATTCATATGCAATTCTGGGAGATAAACTTATTTTTAAAAATACACACATAGCACTTAATAATTACCATAGTGCCAGAAAAGCTTACTTGAATCAACAACTCCTTCCTCCACAGGCTGCAGATCATCCAGAACTCTGCAGCCCGTATCCCCTCCCGCACAGGGCTCCATGACCCTATCACCCCCATCCTCGCCCGACTCCACTGACTTCCCATCACACAGAGGATACAGTTCAAGATCCTGGACCTCACCTTCAAAGCCCTCCATGGCCTCGCTGACCCCCACCTCCTCCATCTCCTAATCCCCTACCACCCTGCTCGCTCCCTCGGCTCAGCGAACTCCGGCCTGCTTCACGTTCCCCCCCTCGCTTGCCCCACTATTGGCTGGCAGGCCTTCTGCCCCCACCCTCTGGAACTCCACCCCGCAGTCCCTCTGCCTCGCCCCCTCCCTTGCCTCCTTCAAGAACATCTCAAGACCCTCCTCTTCGGCTGTGCTTTCGATCACCCTGCTTCCATCCCCTGCCCTCCACCCTCCCTGATCCCCAGCTTGGATGCAAAACTCTTAAGACTGTCCAGCGCCTTGAGATGTCCTCCCAACGTGAAAGGCGCTTTACGAATGTAATTTTGTTGTTATTGTTGTTGAATCAAATTTAGATACATTAAGCATCATTCTTCAATTTAAGGTTAACAGAATGGCATGAAGAGTAGTGTTAACAATCACCACCTATATAATTTTTGCCTTCACTCTTCCAGAAAAAGGCCAGGAAGGGGAGGATTAAACACCAACAATGAAATAATCAAAAACATAAAACATAAATATCATTTCAATGAAAACATTCTATAACTTCATTAGTTACATTCAAACTCATTGAACACTATATTGGAATTGGAAGACTATATTTGTTCTGGAAAGATTATTATTGCCCATAATCTTAAATACCACAAATCTACATAAATTGCATAATCTCTGCAATAAAGCATATTCCTCCATCGTATCAATAGAGCACAATAGGTTCTGATACGATAGTAAATTTATGGATGTAATTTATGGATATAACAAGCACAACATGCTTGTAACTTTACTGTTTGTATTTCAGATGGCTTTTTTATTATCTTGGTTATTGCCCTCATTCTTTTAGCCCATATCCTCCACATATTTCATACCCCATTAGTAGGATGAACGATAAGCACAGGGTTGAGTAGAGTGCTCATGATTAAACCAATTATACATGCTTTGTGGAAGGAATGAGCTTGATACCAGAACTTTAGTTATTTAATTTGTTTGTTCTTATGATCGTTGTCTTGCTCATCATTTAACAATCAAAGAGTAGAAATATGAGCTCAAGGTCACGAACAACAACAACAAGATTGCATTTATAGAGCGCCTTTCACTTTGGGAGGATGTCCCAAGGTGCTGGACAGTTGGGTTGGGACCCAAGCAGGGGGGAAATGGTCAGGGTGAGGGAAGGGAGGGAGCGAGGAGGGAGTAGACAATCGAGAGGGGAGCTGAAGGCACGGTTGAAGAGAAAGGTCTTGAGACCAGCCTTGAAGGAGGAAAGGCACTGGGGGATGGAGTTCCAGAGCCTGGGGACTGAGAGGCTGAAAGCCCCGCCACCGATGGTAGGGCAGTTAGGGCGGGGGATGTGGAGCAGACCGGAGCCAGAGGAACTAAGTCACCCTGAAGAAACTCAATCAATAATATCCTTTAACTGGAAACAAAGAAATGTGTAATGAAATGAAGCATTAAAGTATAAACCAAACAAGGCAGTTTCATGTTTGTTCATTTTCTTTGTGCAGCTATAAAACTAATTATAATTTAAAGGAAAGTACATCACCAAAACTGAAGAATTTCACCCATAGAAAACTTTTTCATTAAGCAGAATGCAAGATGCATAATTTGTAAATGAAAACCTTCATTTAAACAACGATTACTGCACCTTTCTCTAATCTACCTTTGTACTTCATCCACTAAACATTATATACCATGTAAAATTTACTTAACAAAATGGGACAAATTTAGAAAATATATGTCTTAAGTGGTTCCATCAATTTTTTTCTTTGCTGTTGTGTCCAATAAAAGTATTTAGATTATTCCATGTAGTTGTTGAGCAAAGGTTTGACCCAAATTATCGTTAAATTGGATATCGCTCTAGTCAAATGCCCTGCAGGATTATTAATTTTCATTGCGAGGAGTCTTCCTAATGCTGTCTAAAATGTGCCTTCAAGTGTCATTCATTCCGAGATTTGAAACTGCAATCTCTCCGTTTACGTGACGCGATGTGTTCAACTTTCAGCAAGACTGCAGTTATCTAAGACTAACAGTGAAACCCAGATTATCGTTTGTTTACATTTGAAAGTGAAAATAGTTTCTGAGGCCGTATGAAAGCAGACTTGTCAAGCTTGACTGCTTCTGTTCTAAACTTTACCATTTTGTGCACTAAACAGAATTATCATTAGTGACAGTTAACATGGATTAATGAGAGCAGATCGCTTACTTCTAATATAACAGTGATTTGTTCAAATGTAACTTTTAAAAGAATTTTATGTAGTGTTGAATCTCAAGTGTTTCAGACAGATTTTATTGAGCTTTGTCTATCCAAGGGAATAATAGTGAAAGTCTTCAGTTTATTTCCAGAAGTGTGGAAAGAGGAGGATCTCTGCCTCAAATGATCATTCCTTTTACTACTTTTTTTCTGATTTTTTTTTACAGATTTCCTGTGACATATAATACTGGTCACAAAGAAGCCATTTGCAGCAACACATATTGCTGACATTAGTAGGTTTTCTCTGTAATTAAATTAGAAAATATATACAATGCATTACAAAAACATAATGCTTTTGTTTATGAGTACATTAACTTTACATTCCAGAAGACTAGGAATTTTTTTTGAGTTGAAAATAAAATCCTCTTCCATCTCAAAAGTCCCTTAAAAGGAATATAGGCCAATATTTACTACTTGGATAAGTTACCAAAACAAATGTGTAGTGCAATGAAACAAGCATATTAATCCTCTCTTTCATGGTTTACCACATAGCTATTACAACAGACAAGTGAATGAGTCGACATAATAAGGGACTAACCTGGAAGTTGGGAAGAATCACATGTCGGAATGTTTGTTCCTGTATTTCCAATTGGTAATGCAGCACTCATTGGAGGAATAGATCCTGGTGGAAGGTATCCTGAAAGAACAAGGTTCACATAACTAAATAGAAATGATTTTGCTTTTCATATACAGCATAAAAACTCAAAGTCTTAACATGAGGCTTGAAGCCACAACCTCATATGGCTACATCACAGTCGTGATTATGTTGTGACAGTACAATTTTTGCAGTCACACCCGGAATTGGAAAGTGCAATCAAACAAGCTCGACTTCCACACCAAGTGAATTTTTTCCTGCACTTTAAAGGATTTTTTAAAGAAAAACCTAAAACAGTTTAAACTATAACATTACTTCTAACATACATAAATTAAAATGTAATATTAATGAAAATGGGCATCATTTTTTGAATAAAATAAAGCTCATTACATGAGATGCAAATTTCCCCCTAAAGATGTAATATAGAAATATTTGACTTCAATCTTTCCAAATGGACTCCTGGAAGTCCTGAGACAGACCTACTGCCAATGTGAGTTAAATTACCCGGAGGTGGTTGGATTGGATTAAAACCAGGACGCATAAATGGAGGAGGAGGTGGTGGCGGTGGTGGAGGTGGCACTCCTGGGTTGAAAGTAGGTGGTGGGAGTGCTGAAAAGTTTGGTGGGTGTAATCTACCAACCGAAGAGATTGGCTGAACTCCAGGCATCTGCAAAAACAACAATATTGCTTTAATAACGTTTCTGAAACATCATTTAACCTTACTCAAAAATTCATAACACTTCAGAGGGCCAGTAAGTGTCTTGAGACTCCTGTCACTGGGCGCCAATTGTATCTGCATATTTTCATGATACTAACCGATCCTCAAAAATAATCATAGTAATAAACCTGCTCAAACAATTGCAATAATATTAATCCCAAACTACTAAAAGTAAATTTAAAACACCAAGCATTTTAAAAACATTTCCTGTACATGCCTTGGACATTATCTTATTGTATTCTATTGTCTCTTTTCTATTTTACTGTTTCCTATTTTTGACCTATTCAATCTCGTTGCTACCTATTACAAAATCTGTTTCTACCTACTATAAAAACAATAATTTTACTTCCTTTTTGTTGTTCATTATCATAGGCAAATAACAGTTGAAAAATCCTTTCCACATCTTGTTCATCATTACCAATTAATACGATACAACACAGAAGCTTTTTCTTGCACACAAGACTAAAGTGGTAGACAAGACGTACCATTAACCATTACCATTAACCAGATTCTGCTGTTTATAACAAAACATGACAAATTTTAGTGAGAGAAGTGTCTATTCAAGCAATTTCATCATACTATGTATGTATCTTAACGTTGGCTTTCAATCTAAAGTAGCTTTGATCTTGCATTGATATGACACTGGGAATGAGAAAACATTTTGGGAATGACGAGAATAGATAGCTCCAGTGTACGAGATGGCACATAATCATTTAGTACCAACCCAGAGATTTGCAGGTATAATTCCTCATCTATTGTGAGGTTTCTACTATCAGTAATAAACCATAATTGACATTTGGATTCTGGACTTGAGATAAAAATAAGCATAGTTTACTTTTGTTTACTTCCTCTGTTGGAAAGTAAGGTTTCTGCTATCAGTAATAAGCCATAATTGATATTTGGATTCTGGACTTGAGATAAAAATAAGCAGAGTTTACTTTTTTTTAGTTTCTCTGTTGGAAAGTGTGTTGGCAACCGATGAGTATATGATTGGGTTTGACTGTGTTTCTTCCATACACTTAAACAGCCTATCTAGGTTCATACATAAGCAGGTATCTTAATGAGGTATGGACAGTTGGCACCCAGGAAACTATCCCAGAAATAGTCAGCACCTCTGTATAAGAGGAAAGAAAAATAACAAAAAAAAATGTTTATTTGGCAAATTTCAACCAAGATCCAACCTCACCTGTACAGGTAAGGGCATGGATGTTTGAGGCATTTCTTCTGGTTTTGTCACTGCTGTGCCACCATTTTCAGCAGTATCAGCAACAGCTACTGGTGTCTTCGTTATAGTCTTCCAATCTGGTATACATAAAGTAATTACATTCATTCTACAAAGAATAAATACTACAAACAACTTTTATTATAAAAACATTCAAATGTATAATATCTGAGGAAGGGTTCAATTGTACTGAACTCATAAGAACTTAGAGTAAAACGTTACATAGAGCAATGTGGTAAGAAAATAGACCATTCGGCTCAACTAGAAGCATAATGGGAATTGTTTTTGATCAGAAAGTGGTGGAAGGATGTGGAGTTTGTTACCAAAGTGGCTATTGAAGTTGAGCTTATCTCATTAATTTAAGAGTTAGGCACTTGGGAAAATTTAATAGCTTATGGAAAAAGCGAACAGAAATAGGGTTTTGGGGGAAGGGGCGTATTACAAAAAATGGGATTAACGGACTCTTTATGTTCAAATTTCTAGCATCTATACCACAGATTTTTTCTTCCTGAAACACTGGGTGAAATGCTTGCTTCTTACCTGGACAAAGTGTTTCATTATCCAGCATCCCACCCTCACACAAAACTTCCAGTTCTTCAGGTTTTACTTTATCCCATGGAATATAAGATACTCCAAGTTCCACATCCCAAAACTGTTTATATTCTGCTTTCATTCCTTTGGTTAAGGCCCAGGCAATCTGAAAAAAATGAAGAACTTTATTTTGCATACATTGCTCAAAAATTAAGATCATTAATCTGTCAGTGTATAGGTTATAGGTCTATACAACATAATTGTATTTTGGATTTAAAAATGAAAGATTAATGTTTCTTAATATTTCATGCAAAGTTTGAAAAATCTTTGAAAGCATCAATTAATAGAAGTTTGATGCCTTTAGAATTGTCAACAATTCCTTAAAAACATAATTCTTTTACAGTGGCAGAAGTTATTACAATATTAATGTTGCTGCTTAGTAATTAAAAAAGTGTATTGAAAAAAAAGTATAACTTTTGGGTAAAATTAAAAAACAATATGACTCACTATTTACTCAGTAATAACGTGATGTTGAACATTTGTATTTGCAATATAAATCATAATAAGTAACAAAGAGTTAATCACTACTCAAATAGTACTAGTTCAGATAGCAGAGGATATTAGATCTAGTGTTACTGTACTTGCAATTCATACCTTTATAGGCTTTTGGTTGACTTTAAACGTTCCTCTGCTTAGTTTCTGTAAAGCTCGGTACGCATCTTGTCTGTGAACCATCACAATGTAAGCACAGCCTCTTGGAGGAATCATCTGTGGTACAACATAAATCCAAAGTTAGCAAAGCTGAAAGAGCAAGAGGTAAATCAGCATGAGGGCGAGTGTATAAAAAGCATGAAAGAAAAGATGAGGAAGAGGGGAAGGGGTTACAAGAGTTGTGTGAATGATGCACCTTAAAGCTTATGAAAGTAAAGCTTTCTAAATGCCCCCCTTTGATTTTCCCATATTTCATCTGGTAATTGTGAAGTCCTGTAGCTCAGTGGTTAGAGCACTCGCCTGGCAAGCGAGACACCTGAGTTCAATCCCAGGCAGGGCGAAACCTTGAGCAAGTTTCCTTCCTCCACACGCCTAATAATAATCCCTCCAAAAAACAAAAACAATAAAAAATGGTCATTTTCAATCCGCGACTGATTGTGGGACACTGCTGTGCGCAATTGGCTGCCGTGTTTCGCTCACAAATATACAGTCAATTCACTTTACAGTCTATTCTGTGAAGCGCTTTGAGACGTCGAGAAGACGTGAAAAGCGCTATATCAAATGTAAGGATTATTATCATAAAGTTGAACCCATTCGCATCTGGAGGATGGAAAATGAGGAAGCATAGCTACTTGAGTAAACATTAGATAAATATTCATGATAATTTTAAATTGGGGATTAATAAATACTTACATTCAAAGATTCTATCTGGCCAAACTCTTCCAGCAGGTTTGCAACATCCTGTTGTGTTGCCCTTTTGTCCAGTTGTCCTATCCAAAGTGTTGTACTGCAGACTAGAAACAAAAAAATCACAAGTAAGTTTATGCTCAGAATGTCTAATTTTGATAGCATCAAAGAAAAAAAAAACTCATTAAAAATAAGTAGTGTTCATTCCCTCAACAGTGTATTGGAGTAAAGACTATACGAATCTAAAGTCTCAACATGTGGTTTGAATGCACAACCTCCTGATTCAGAGGCAAATGCGTTACCAACCGAGTTAGTCAGTCAATGTTTTAATGATTTTTTTAATCTAAAAATTTCAGTAAACTCTAAACGTAAAAATATTCCAATGAGTTGCGAATATAAATTCAAAGCACTTACCACTGACAGTTTTAGACTTAATTGATGGAAGTCCCTTCTGCCTCCGTTCTCTTTCCTTTTCTCTTTCGCGCCTCTCCTGAGATCGTGATCGTGGAGAGTGTCTACGCCTTTCTCTTTCTCTGGATCTTGATCGAGAACGTTTATGTCTTGATCTTCGTGACCTAGACCCAGATCGAGAACGCCTCCTCTTGGGTGATCTAAGAGGGATTTGCATTTACAACTTATTTTGCAGGATTTTTTTCATTATCACTTCATGCTTTTCCATTTTAAGCCTGAATTACTTTAATAACTCCCTATTTTATAAATTTAATATTTTGTCAATTCTGTTACATTAATGTTATAATTCCATGCACATTTATGCATGTTCTATGCACATACACTAATCAGACATGTTTTACATTAGAATTTTACTTGCTGTGATATAAACTGATTAAGATTGTTAATGCATGCGCAGTGCCTCTCTCCTCTCAGAAACACGCCTCCAGATGCCCCTGAGCACACGGAGGGCAGAGGGAGAGATGGAGAAAGAGTAATACATGCGCAGTTGGCGTCAGACAGGTAACCATTTACAGGGCTTTGCTGCGTTTAATGGATAAAAGCCGATTGAAAGTTTTTTTTGTATCGGGGGTGTTTTATCGGAGGTTTTTGGTTATAACCGAAAATCAGAAGCCCTATTTATATTATACCCTCTGTTGGTCAAAAGATTGAGAGATCAAGGACACAAACTACTGGAATTGAATGCCTGTGAGTAAAGATGCATCTCAGTTCAATAATAAAGATTGTGAGATACAAAATGGCAAGATTCAGTGAAGAATTTGTCTTGACCCCTGATCTAGGAGGCCCTCAAGGCCCTGAAATCAGACAACAATATTTAATTCCATAATCTTGATGAATGATGGTGGGCAAAACAAAATAGTATATTTATCTGAATGAGAAACTAAACAAAACCAATCAGAGGTAATAAGCGGGTACATGGAGCTAATGTATCCAGTAAAATTAAGCTTTGGATACTCAGGATAAAGCTATCTGATCATTTTTACTGATTTCAAAGTTGAAGTATTTATGGTAAATTTATACTAATGAAACACCAATGTATGTCCATCCATCCGTGTCAGTGTATCTGACAATCACACAATAACCGATTGACGGAGATACATAATTTATACCTCATCAGAAAGGTCTTGCATCTGGCAGTGATATGGGCATACTTTTTTTGGGGGGAATCACCTATCGTTGATGAGCTATATTAAAAAAAGCTCTAATTGAGCCCCAAAATATGAGGTATGCATCGTATTCTACAATTACGTAGCGACAGAGGAAAGCACACACCGTTCAGAGATACATCTAGATTCTGCAACAAATGTATGGCACTTTTTCTGGTTGTCATGGGAGCTAGAGTCCTCCCATGTGGGACAGACAGTGAGACTGAGAGAGAGACAGACAGATTGGGAGAGAGAATATATTATAAAGTGTAACAAAACACAAAATACTGCAGATGCTGGAAATCTGAAAACAAAAAGTCGCTGGGAACACTCACTTTCAAATTATAAAATGTAGTGACTGTGTTTTGTGGGAGACAGCGAAAGACTGAGAGACAGACTGCGAGAGACAAGAGAGAGAGACTGAGACTGAGACAGAGAGACCATGAGAGAAAATATATTAAAGGATTGCTCCCACTGAGTCCTCCCATAGGAATATTCCCAGCTGGGTATAGATAAAGACAAAATATCTGTGTGTGTCTGTCTGTGTGTCAATCTACATTCCATATTGGATCCTTTGGTTGCAAGCGAAGCTGCAACTGGTACAGCTAATAAATAATAAAAACACACATTACAAAAAGGTTACAAGATACACTGCTAACTCTCTTCCCCCCTCATACGACTGACCTTGATCCAGACCGAGTGCGCGACCTCCTGTTTTCCATGTGATGACGCTTTGATTCTTGCATATCAGGCTTTTCAATCTCCATATCTACTTCCTTCAAAAACACACAAATGTCAACATTAACTTATACTACGTTAAAATGAATTGCATAAGGGAAATTATCGAATAGTTTTTTTTAATTTACCTGTTGTGGCTCATTTAGGGTCCGATAGTCTGGCTGAAACACAGATTGAACAGATGCTGGGGGCATGACTGCTTGAGGCATAACTGGATAAGAATGAACAGGACCCATCCCATATGTAGGTAACTGTCCATTGGGAGGTGGTGGCATCTGAAATAAAATCACAAGTGATCGAAACATTACAGTAAACAGTACACCAGTACCCCCCCCCCCCCACGTAAACCCCGGTTACCCCCCCCCCCCCCCCCCCCCCCCACTCCATCCACTCCCAAGAGACAAGTTATCCCGGAGTGAGTCAGTCAGGGCACTCACGGATCCTCCAAGGCTGCATCCACCTCAAGGGCAGGACCGCTGTCATGAGGTTTCCCATCCGCCCACTGGAGTCATAGGGATAGATCCTCTCAAGGGTGTTCACTTTATAACTAAGGAACTCTCTGGTGCTCCTACAAGTGAGTATCAGTCTCAGTGTAGTACAGTCACCCCCCCCCCCCCCCCCCCCCCCCCCCGACGCCCCCCCCCCCCCCCCCCCCCCCCCCCCCCCCCCCCCCCCCCCCCCCCCCCCCCCCCCCCCCCCGCCCTATATCGTTGTTAGCTTCAGACCTGACTATAGTTTTTTTTTTTCTTACTTCACTTTTTTCCTGTTAGTCCCTATTCTTTGTTTTCATGATTTCCCCCCCCTCCCCCCCCCCCCCCCCCCCCCCCCCCCCCAACTCACCCTTACTCTTGCTGAGCTCTATATTTTTTTTTTTTTTTTGTTACCGCATTGGAAATGGTATACATTCTCCAGGAGATGTATCCTGGCACGTGGTATATTAAAGAAACAAAGATACTTGCCACTGTCTATTTTTTTACCGGTGCACTCTAGGATGATCTGGTGTGAAAAAACTAAATGTCTTTATGTAACTAACAACTTGCTTACAACAAAATACACTGTTTTGTGCCCTTCATCATTTTCAACATGACAAAACTTGGCTGTGATCGCGGACTGAGCTGTCAGTCAGTGGGCCATGATTGGCAGTCTTTGTAGTCAGTCAGGATCAGAGGGTACGGTGAGGGGCTGTGATTAAGGGAGACCAACCGGAGCTAATGCTTTGTGAGGCCAAAACATGAGACCCCTGAGTCCCCCACTGGATCTTACCACTGATCACAAGAGGTTGTTTCGGGTCCTGGAGTGTTATCTGATCGATTTTGCATTGAGTACAATTACGAGAATTTCTAGAATGTGACTAGTTATGTGTCAAGTGGAGTAACAAGAAAAGAGAAGTCCCTCATAAACATTTTGCATGGGAAGCAGCCGGGATATTGACAGTAACAAGCTAAACCAGAGTCAAGTTATCAGGAATTTACTAGACACTAATACTTTTGTAGTTAGTTGCATAGCAGTCAGATATAAAACTAGTTCTAAATCTATCGTTTTGCCTTGAAGAGGAAAAACTTTTTTTATAGGAACATAAAAATGTAATGCTAAAACACACCTATGTGTTCCACCTGATTGATCTAAAAGTAATTTTTATAAAAATAATCCCAAACTAGTCTCTTTAATACCCCTCACAAAACTGTTCACCAAATAGAATTGCTGACATGAAAGGTACTTTATAAATATAAATTGTAATGACATTTTTAAAAAAAAATTCAGACCTATAGGAGCCCACTTGACAAAGAAACAGGAATAAAAAAAACTAAATTATTAGATTACATGAAATGCAAGGATTATTATTGTTACTACTCAAATTGTAAACACAAAGTAAACAATGCTTCTCGTAGGAAAAGAAACCATGCTTATCCCATGACAAGTAAGCAATGCTGATGTATCTGAACATGGCAGCCAATATTCCTAAATTGTCTATTTAATTTTTTTTATTCCAGTCAGCCAAAAAAGCCTAGAATTCATAACTGTTCAGTCGACTGAGCTTGCTGAAAAGCTGCAGAGGACTTGATATGGATTGTATGCTTACCTGCTGTAATGTGTCCTGTTGCAGACCCAACAAGGTTTGCTGAAATTGTTCCAAATTTGGAAGCTGAATTCCAAGATGCTGATATAGAGGTGGTTGCATACCTTCAGAGAATCCACTAATAGAAAATAGAAAACCCATCTATGTTACACTAGACTATCTACTTCAATAGTAAATACATGGTTTTAAGTAAATAGATGTTAGTAATTGTTAATCAAGGCTTTAAAAAAAATTGTAATAATTATGTAACAATTTGAAAAAAGTCTGCTCCTCTTCAAGGTAGTAATCCCTATTCTCCAGATAAAAGATAAAATATGATAAAATTAGTTTAAATTTGCAAATTGAATAACGTAGAATATAAACAAAACTTTTTTGTAAAAACTAATTCATATTAAATGTTTTTCTAAAGTAAATATACAGAAGTTGCTTTTAGAGATAATGCTTCTAAATGTGCCTTTAATTCCAGTTTTAGTATACACTCCCCAATGGAGAAGGAGGTCCAGTCTGACGAGCTGGAATTTCTGGCTAAGTGTAATTACAATGCTCGTACCAGCATTCACCGTTTTTTTGGCATTGTAATTGTTTGAATGCCACAAACAGAAAGTAGTGAATAAGCTGTCTTCTGCTCACGGGATTGAATCTGAGTCAATCGATATCCCTGGCAGCTATGAAGGCCACCAAGGATGGTGAGGTGGAGGCAGCGGGAAACTACCTACATACATGTGGGCCCGTGGAATTTTTTTTTTAATTTTAGGTTTCGGGCCTGGTCCCGCTAGGTCTGAATTCCAGACAGCTGGAGGGCTTACTGTATTTCTAAAAACAATAGTGATATAATTCGCACTATATTAGTTAGACTTAAATAGAACCGATTCTACAAGTCTCATGGTAACAGTTTAACAGGTTCAGTGGTACTTACAACGAAGTCTGAGCAGGAGATGGAATCGACTCCTCTTTCTTCACATCATCAACTTGTTCTGGCTCATCATCATAGTCAAATCGGTCAAGCAGCTTCTGCAAAAAAATGTAAAACAAACATCTTCAAGTGTCTTTCTACATTTCAAATGGGGGAGGGTGGGGTAGAAACAGATAATGAACAGAGAGCCATTCCAAATGAGAATCACTCTAGCTTAACGAATGCTGTTACAACACTGTGGGAAGAGCCACAAAAATGTATAAAATGGGAGTTATTTTGAATGCTTCACAATTCTTTATTTGCCTATCAATATGTACCAATGAAACAATGCATTCACCTCCAACAACAACAAAATTACATTTGTATGGTGTCTTTCACGTCGGGAGGACGTCCAGAGGCGCTGGACAGACAGAGTTATGGAATCGAGCTGAGGGTCGGGGTGGGAGCGGGCAGGGGGGAAGCAGGGAGATCGAAAGCACGTTCAAAGAGGAGGGTCTTGAGGTGGATCTTCAAGGTGGCAAGGGATGGGGCGAGACGGAGGTACTGCTGGATGGAGTTCCAAAGGATGGGTCCAAAGTGGCGGAAGGCCTGCCCACCGATAGTGGGGCGAGCAAGGCGGGGTACGTGAAGCAGACCGGATTCCGCTGAGCGGAGGGAGTGAACAGGTTGGTAGGGTGTTCGGAGGTCGGAGGTAGGGGGGAACAAGACCGTGGAGGTCTTGGAAGGTGAGGAGCAGGATCTTGAACTGTATCCTCTGTGTGATGGGAAGCCAGTGGAGTTGGGCAAGGATGGGGGTGATGGGGTCCCAGAGCCTAGTGCGAGAGAGGACATGGACTGCAGAGTTCTGGATGTGGGACAGTGTCGGAGCCGGGCGACATTGCAGAGGTGGGGGAAGGCAGAGCGGGCCATGGCGCAGATGTGGGGTAGAAAGGATAGTTGAGGGTCAAACAAGACCCCAAGGTTCCGGACTGGCTTAGCAAGGCTGGCTTACCAGCCTAATAGATTTGCTTTTTTATACCTTATCAAAGGCAGCCTTCTGTTCTGGAGGCTGTGCACCAGCAGTCTTTAGCTGAGCTGTAAAGGCCTCAACCCGTGACATTATACTGTTATCCACTGCTGGAGACTGTGGCTTGGAGGGCTGCTGGAAATTCTGCAATATCTGCTGTATCTAATGCAAAAAGCAAAGTTCCAGGTAAGTTACTATAAACCTATTTAAAAACAGATCTAGATTACAACAACAACTTGCATTTTAAACAGTGCCCTTGTAGCATTTATATAGTGCCCTAAATTATATATTTATATTGGGCATCGTCTCGGAGAGATTCGTACTTAGAAAATTATGAAATAAAAGGCTACCCAAATGTAAAACCAGAAATAACACAAAAAAGTTAATCCTTTAATTTGTTTAAACATATCCATGGGCAATAATAATCCTTGCATTTGATATAGCGCCTTATCATGTCTTCCAAATGCCTCAAAGCGCTTCCCAGAATATACTTCAAAGTGAATTAACTGTATGTTTTGTAGGCGAAACCCGGCAGCCAACTGTGCACAGTAGTGTCCCAGAAACACTCATGGATTAAATGACCAAATTTTTTTTTAAGGGATTACCACCCTGGAAAAGCAATCTGTGAATCAACTTAACAACCGGGTTCCTACTTACTGCTAGGTAAACAGAGGTGTGTGGAGTGTGGTTTCCTGCCTGGGAATCAAACCCAGGTCCTCTCGCTTGCGAGGCAAGTGCTCTAACTACTAAGCTACAGGGCTCCACAGGTACAGGTAATATTCCTGTGAAAAGTTCTTTATAAACAGTACTGCCATAAAAGATTACATTGTACAACATACTGTATGGTATAAATTACAATTTGATACCTCGTAGCTCGGAATATGAACATTTATATACACTTATTTTTACCTGCTGCCCTTGAGTTGACTGAAAGAGCTGGGCTACTGCCACAAATGCATCGGAGTTGGGTAGTTGTTGTTGTAGAGCAGACAAGGAGTCGGATGTTATCTGAGGAACCTGTGAAGGAGCTGGATGAGGAATAGGAGACCCTATTGAAGACAAAATCAAGCACACACTTACACTTACAATCAGTACGTAACGTTGATGAGAACAACAATACCAATGCAACCTCTTTTCACTATAAACGACCAATAAACAATAAAAAAAATTACATTTTAGGCTACGTATCCGAGTTTTCCTAAGGAACTGCGATCCAGAGGTTATTGAAGTCAAAGCCTGCGCTCTCTTGTCAGGTGCTCTGAAAAGGGTTAGTCAGGCTCCAAATGTCCCACAAATGAATCAGATATGGTTGAGGTTTCCCTTAAGATCCACTGTAAAACTGATTCAATTGTCTTTGAACAAGTTATCTGCTCATGAAGGAATTAACAGGTTCAGCTTTCAGACACTATGGTTTGCTTTAGAAATCTCTCCAGTAATTCTTCTACTTAGTTCACTAATAAGATCTGAGCTTGTAACAAGCTCTTAGCTTGAAATGGCATTTGTAGCAGTGAGTTTCAATTCCCTGGAGAGCCAGATAGCAGCACAGGACATTTAGGATACCCACGGCTGCTGTTTTTGTAACAGGATTCCTTGTATCACGTCTTTCACTAGTGTAATCATTACAAGTCACAATGAACAGCCGAGAAAGAAACAAGTTGATAGAATTCAGAGTTTGTGCAACTGCTACTCTTAAGGTTTTCTGAAACAATCATTTTAAACAGATCCACAGATAGAAGTCATCTGGAATAGTCAGAGAGGTGCAATAAAATATACACCTTAGTCCAAGCACGAGGAATAAGAATTTATTTTGAAAGATAACAACAAAATTACATTTGTATAGCGCATTTCACGTCGGGAGGATGTCCCAAGGCGATGGACAGTCAGTGTTTTGGAAGCAAGCTGGGGTTGAGGAGGGGGAATGGCGGGGGGGAAGTAGGGTGATCGAAAGCACGGTCGAAGAGGAGGGTCTCGAGATGGGTCTTGAAGGAGGCAAGGGAGGGGGCAAGGCTGTGGGATGGAGTTCCAGAGGGTAGGGGCAGAGTGGCAGTAGGCCCGCCCGCCAATGGTGGGGCGTGTGAGGCAGGGGACATGAAGCAGACCAGAGCCCGTTGAGGGGAGGGAGTGAGCAGTAGGTTAGGAGGTCTCAGAGGAGGGGGTGAGCAAGTACATGGAGGGCTTTGAAGGTGAAGACCACAATCTTGAACTGTGTCCTCTGAGTGATAGGAAACCAGTGGAGTTGGACGAGGATGGGGGTGATAGGGTCGTGGAGCCTGGTACGAGAGAGGACACAGGCTGCAGAGTTCTGGATGATCTGCATCCGATGGAGGGAGGAGTTGGGGATGCCGTCAAGCAAGGAGTATGTATAGTCAAGCCTTGATGTAATGAAAGCGTCTATGAGGATTTTGGCGGCCTGCGCTGTGAGACAGTGGCGGAGCCGGGTGATGTTACGCACGTGGGGGAAGGCAGAGCAGCTCATGGCATGGATGTGGGGTAATAAGGTTGAGGGTCAAACATGATGCCAAGGTTCCAGACTGGCTTAGTCAGGTGGAGTGTGCATCCATGAATGGTGATGCTGTCAGCACTTGAGGTGTGGAGGCGCTGACGGGAGCCAATCAGGAGAGCCTCGGTCTTGTTGACATTCAACTGAAGAAAATTAGCTCTCATCCAGGACGATGTCTGACAGACATTCTGTCAGCACAGAAGTGGTCCTGGAGTCAAGGGTGGAGGCAGAGAGGTAGAGTTGGGTGTCATCCACATACATGTGGAAGTTGATCCCATGTCTGCGGATGATGTCACCAAGAGGGAGTATATAGATGTTGAAGAGGAGGGGACCAAGGACAGCACTGAGGAACGCTGCACGAGACGGTGCGGGGGCTAGAGAAGAAACCGTTTGTGGAGATGAAGTGGAGGCGGCCTGAGAGGTACGATTTGAACCAGTGAAGGACAGAACCGTGAAGGTTGTGGTGAGAGGAGTGGTCGACGGTGTCGAAGGCAGGAGAGGTCAAGGAGGACAAGGAGGCTGAATGTTCTGATTGAAGATCTAAATGTTTCTGCCACAGTTATTTCAGATGAAGCACCAGAGCACAATTTTTTTTAACGATTAAGAAATATTAATTTATCCCAGCATGTTTGAGGAGTCATGTAGAAAACCACATAACAGCAAAGAAATTTCTTAAAAAGGTCTCTCTTTGTAAATTTCTAATTGTCTGGATACAGAATGAACCTTATTCCACAGTGTGGAAATATTTAGTATGAAGAACCAATCTTTTCCTGCTGCACTATTAGGACGTTTTCATTAATACACCATTCACAATGAACAAAAAACAATGATACTTACTTGCATTATTAGCAGCACTATCTATTGCCGGTGGAGCTGTGGTTGCAGTAGTCCCTGCTGCCATATCCAACAGTGGCTGTATAACTTCAATCCTGAACACACCATTCTTTTGCCATAGGTTCAACACACGAACTATCTTGCTCTGTTTAATAAAACGGCAACATGTTTGTTTTTTGAATGGATACCCATTTGTACAACCAATATATTTTAAACTCTTAAAAGGCTATTCTTGTTTTCTCATTCATGAATATCTCCTGATCTAGTAAATGCTCATTTTGAGGTATCCTCAGCAACTCATTGGATTAATAATAATACTTGCATTTGGTATAGCGCCTTATCAAGTCGTTGAGATATCTTAAAGCACTTCACAGAATATACTGTAAAATTAATTGACTATTTTGAGGGAGAAAATGCGGCAGCCAATTGTGCACAAACAGTCATGGATTTATTTTTTTGAAGGGATTACTATCCTCAGAAAAGCGATCTGCCAATCAACTAATAAACAGGTTCCTACTTACTGCTAGGCTCCACTGAGCCGTGCGGAGTAAGGAAACTTGCCCAACATTTTGCCCTGACCGAGAATCGAACCCAGGCCCTCTCGCTTGTGAGGCGAGTACTCTAACCAGTAAATTACAGGCTTACACGCTGATGACAGGGTAAAACATGAAAAAAAATGTAAAGGAGCCTTGCCCCTTTAAGAAGCATCAGTAAAGTAATGTACCTCATTTCCATAAGAGGCTTGGACATTATCATTCTAATCAGTTTGGTTTTGCCTTTATCACAGAATACGTGATAAATAACTATTTAAAATGAGAAGTTTCCCAATTTGATCCATTAGCAGCCAAGGACTCGAGTCAATGGAAACTGGGTACATGTGGACAATGCCTATTTTCAAAGAATGAAGGAAACTATAAGATAGATAATGTCTCTTTCCTCCTCATTTTGCATCCTCCGGGTTCAACTGGAGACTTCAAAATAGTGAAGACTCCTTGGGGAACATAGATCTCAGCAAGGGCATTTTACTACCAAGTGAAACAATTCATTAAAACAGTATCAAAACATGCTCAAGAAACATTCTCCCGTACCATCAACTGTCACCAAATCACCAATCACATACTTCCTTACCTTCTCATCAAATGGACATTTATATAAATATTGGAATGTGGCGGTAATATTTTTACTGAACCGTGGCCCAAAAACATCTTTCTCAGCTCCAAACTGATGACGGGACTGACGAACAATCGAGTCAATAACATACAATCCTGGAACTTTAAATTCTGGTTTGCACTGCAAGATAAAAAGCAACAAGTGTTGATATTACGTTATAATTCGTATAACAGAATCAAAAAATGCTAATTAAAGAAAAGCAACAATTCATGAACACGACTCACCTTTTTGACAAACTTTTCTACAATTTGCACAACATGTTTGTAAAGCTGAAAATAACATAAAACACAAGCAATTAATAAGCACAACAAAATAAGCGTTCAAAGTATAGATGATCATGATTCACCCTGAAAACTCAGAATCTTTCAGATGTTGATCAGACCTGCAATACATTTCTAATATTTTTTATTCGAGATTCACAAGACATTTCTCAGATTACATCACTTAATGTTTCACCTTACTCCTCGCAGTTCAGTAAATTAAGCCCCAGACTTAATACTGAAAGATGGAGCTGCATCATTTCAAGATGAATAAAATATCATTTGAAAATTTATATTCTTCCAGGAAGGAGCAGTTAGACGTAAACAGGGTCTTTCAAGTTTAACTGGTTCTGCAAACATATTCAGGAATCTAAAATATAGTAAGATCTGAGATTTTGAAAATGGGTGTATTCCCCCCCCCCACCCCTTTTCAATCAGTTTGTTTCTGGGTATAGAATTATCACTTGCATCTTAAAACTGCTGGAATCTACAATACTTTTTGGGCTGATATAAAAATTTAAGAGCTTTAAGATTGTGATTTTACACGAAAAGTACAATGAATCCAAGTTGGTAAAAGAAAATTAAACATAACTGTGAAAACCTAAGAAAAATAAAGTTTTTTTAAATAAATGTTTACAAGCTCAATTCATTTTTTTTTTGGTCAGCTGCATGTCTGAGACATACAGAACCATCACCATGTTTGAGAGTATCCAAGCCAAGCTGAGATTTCCACCTACACATGGAAATCCCAGAGATTGATTATTGGAATGGAATGCACACTCTCTTCCTGGAGGGACGCATCCTGCTTACCGAATTCCGGAAGGTATTAGGCGCAGGTTGGCAAGAGCCAAGGCTTGGGAACCCCAGAGTGTGCGTTTGGGTACTGCTGGAGTCTAACCAGCTAAAACCACAAAGCTTGCTATTGATAATGCTTTCTGGCAAGCCTTCCCACTACTTGTTGAGCTAGGATCACCCTAACCGGTAGAGCTTTGGCTTGCAGGGTAAACAGGAAGTGAGTGGGATGACTCCCTGCCCCCAGTGCTGGTCTGCCCTTTCAGGTCTTGCCAGGCTGACTGTGCTGTCATCACCAGTGCCCTAGAACACTGTGGACCCGCCTGACTCAGGAACCACCACAAGAGACCACCACAGAGGACTGGCTCGATTCTGACCTTCCATTGCCAGGCATATCACTTTGGAGCCAGTTCAGCTCCAAAGAGACCCCCCCCACCCCCCCCAGGAGAATAGTCACTAGTTGGCCTTTCAACATCCGCCAAGCACAGGTTTCAGCCCTCATTAGGTGGATGTTAGGTACAATTGTATTACACAATGAATAAAATAACCTCCTGCTGATGTAGAGGGAAAAAAACTGAAGTTGATACATGAAAATGTGGTCTCATATGGTGTAAATTTATGTACATAGGCTCCAGCTGAATAGTTTAAATTTTCCAGTTTGCAAACTATAATTTGTGCGCTATATATTTAATACAAATATATCTAATCTTGATAAGTGCACAATTGAACGGTGAAAAATACCCTACAACCAATTTCTCAAAATCAACACTAGAAGCGGATATATGGAAGAGAGGAACACAAAATAGACAAATATACATAAATACCAGGGCAATAACAACAAACAACAAATTACAATTGTAAAATGCCTTTCACATCGGGAGGACGTCCCGAGCCGTCGAAGTCAGGGATTTGGACCCAAGCAGGGTTTGGATCAGTGAGGGTGGAGGGCAGGGAGGGTAGCGGTAGAAGGGTGGCCGAATGTGCGGTTGAAGAGCAGGGTCTTGAGAAGTGCTTTGAAGGAGGCAAGGGAGGGAGCAAGATAAAGAGACTGTGGGATGGGAGTTCCAAAGGGTGGGGGCAGAGAAACTGAAGGTCTGATTGCCAAATGGGGGCAGGTCTGGCGGGGGATGTGGAGCAGGCTGAGTGGAGGGAGTGGACGGGTTGTATGGGTTTAGCAGGTCACAGAGGTAAAAAGCCATGGAGGGCCTTCCTTGAAGGCGAGGGCAAGGATTTTGAACTCTCTCCTCTGGTGTATGGCGTAGCCAGTGGATCCGGGCGAGGGTGGGGATGATAGGGTCACAGAGCCTGGTGCAGGAGAGGACACAAGCTGTAGCGTTCTGGATGATGTGCAGCTTGGGGAGGGAAGAGTTGGGGAGGCCGACAAGCAGGGAGTTGGCATAGACAAGCCTTGATGTAATAAATACATGGATGAGGGTTTCAGCGGCCTGAGGGGAGAGGTAGTGGCAGAGCCGGGCAATGCTGTGGAGGTGGGGGAAGACAGAGCTTGATCATGGCACAGATGTTGGGTAGAAAGGACAGTTGAGAGTCACACACGTTACTCACAGTAAGTTGGAAGTGTACATCCTTGGATGGTGATGCTGTCAATACCTGAGATGTGGAGGCACTGACAAGAGCCAATCAGGAGAGCCTCGGTCTTGTTGACATTCAACTGGAGAAACTTATCTCTCATCCAGGACTTGATGTCTGACAGACATTCTGTCCGGGTAGCAGAGGTTAAGGGTGGAGGCACATCCACATCCGCAAGCATGTGGAAGTTGACCCCATGTCTGCGGATGATTTCACCAAGATGGAGCATGTACATGTTGAAAAGGGGAATGCCACACAAGACAGTACAGGGACTAGAGAAGCCGTTTGTGGAGACAAAGTGGAGATGTTGTGAAAGGTAGGTAAGATCTGAACCAATATCCAACATCTGTGCCCTTGAACCAATCAAGGGCAACTACAAAAGCAAGAAGGAAAAATATTTGTGCATTTCCTACCTTTATAGCTTTGATGGCAGCTTTAGTAATAAGGATCATCTTCGCCCGAGAAATAGGTGGTTTTAGTTCCATTAAAGAAAACAACTGAAATAATAAAAAAAATTGAGTCAACAAACTTTTTTTAGTCAATCATTTAAACCGAGCTGTACAATTTAGAGCTCTACAAATAACATAGCATAATGTTCTTATGGTAGTTTAATAGATATTTATGGATCAAATATGTTTCTGTTAAACAAGATAAAAATATTCCAAGTTAAATTCATCTGTCGAATTATTCTTTATGGGCAACTCCATTTAAGAACATAAATTTAAACTTAATTTTCCAATTTTTTCCCAAATCCAGTTTGTATTTTTTATTATAAATAAATACTAGTTAGATACTGTTTAACTGAAATATAATTTGAAACATGTCTAGCCCAAATTATAATCAAAATGTGTCCAGCATTCAAGATTTCTATTACGATTTACAAACTACAAACAGAAGCAAATACTAGCAGTGCAACATAGTTACAATCAGAAAGTCTTTTAATATACTGTAAAGTGAATTGACTGTATATTTTGTGGCCAAAACACTGCAGGCAATCGCGCACAGCAGTGTCCCACAAACAGTCGTAGATTGAAGTGACTAATTTTTTTTTGAAGGAATTATTACCCCCTGAAAAGAGATCTGTCAATCGACTAACAAAGGGGTTCCTTCTTACTGCTAGGTAAACAGAGGCGTCTGGAGTAAGGAAACTTGCCCAAGAATCAAACCCAGGTCCTCTCACTTGCAAGGCCTCTAACCTATAGGACTCCACCACATTTACTGAATGCGAATCCGGGTCCTCTCACTTGCAAGGCAAGTGCTCTAACCACTATGCTACAGGACTCATGTCTTTTATCCTCATTCACCCATCCCCTCTGATTTTTGTTCTATAACTCTATATCCTTACTTCCCAAGAATCCATTTCACTTTTTCATATTCCAATCACCCAGTCTTCAGGGATCCTGCATTAGTTATTCCCACAACCCCCTGTACAAACAAATGTTTTCTGATATAACTTTGAACCACATTAGCTTTAATTTAAAGATTATGTCTCCTCCTTTTGGATTTCTACAAGTCATCAACTCACAAATCTCCAGTATTTTCAAATCTCATCAGTCACATTTACCCCTAAACCTCCTCACCATTCAGGACTATTCCATACAGTTCCTCATCCTAGGTATTTATCTTGCATACTATGCTGAGTTCATCTTCCTCTAATACGAGTCTCAGACAGGACCTTGTGGAGATGCATCCCACTCTCCCTCTGGGTATGCTGAGCATCTTAAGACCTCTTTATCCCCTTCATAAATAATGGAATGGAAAATCGTGCTTAACATATCTATTTGAATTGTTTTTGAGAAACCTAGACTGAATGGTAGTGGTGGAGGAGATAATGAATCCACGAGAAAAGGATTTGATACTGTTCTGAATAAATATACTGCATAAGATTCAGGCCCACTGGTTAAATAGAAATGTATTAGCAAATGGCTAATTTGTAGAAAAATGCATAATGATGCCAAGCTACCTGCTGGGTTCTAATTACTGTAGATAGGTCACCAGGATCGGAAAAGGAGCATAATTGTTAAGTGTTGAAACCGAAACGAGGTTGGCATCAGGTGCCTGACTTGGATGTCACAGATTTTGATATTTCCAAGTAGGAAGCAAGTGACAAACTTTAAAAAATGGGATCCAGCAAAGCTGGGATGTTGACAGAAAGATGGCAATACTACTGCAGAGAAAATGTAAAGTTACGTGTTTGAGGTAACAGAAAAAGATTTCGGAGATAGATTACTAAAACCACTGATGGTGTATTTGAGTATTAATTAAAAAAAACTAAACACATAGTGAAACTCTACTAAGTAGCCCCTGGGTTAAGTAGTCAACCCCATATAACTAGTCACTCACTCAATATCTCTCCTAATTGTACTTTCGAGATACTGTACTTTGGATAACTAGTCAACTCTGCTGAGTAGTCATTTGAGCTAGTTTCCTTGGGGCGACAAGATATCAGTGATTCACTGTATATAGGTAAGGAGGTAATGTAAAAATCAAGAGTGGAGATCTTAAACATGTATGCACCTTTGCTGAGACCACATCTGAATAACTGCAAATAAAGCTTTGGTCCTGATTTGGTACTCATTTGTTGCAGGGTGCAACATAGGGCTCATACATCAATTCCAGTAAAAGCTGGCGACCCTTGGACTTTTATCTGTCTCTTGAACAGTGAACTCTGACAGCTATTTAAGATTATGAAGGGTTTGGAAAATTTAGATGCACGTTTTGCCATGTAGAAATTCAAGAAAGGATCATATGTTCAAAATGGGATAAAAGAAGATATGGAGATTTTAATTTTGTAAAAAAATGGTAGGTTTATGGAACAAACTCCCAGCACAGGTAATAAAATAAACTATCATGGATTACTATTATCCGATTTACTGGCATGATTCAGGATTATTAGGTTTAGAGATCGAGATATTGAACAAAGACGACAAACTGCATTTATATAGTGCCTTTCATGTCAGGATGATGCTCCAACGCGCTGAAAAACTGAAGGAACCGTGTGCAAAACTGAATGGATAGGGTAGGAGGTGATTGTTTACCTCTATCTGAAATTGCTCCAATGTAAAAATCTTTCTGCTTCACAACTTGAACTGAGTTGCATTTTATTGAATTTGGCAATTTATATACAAGAGTGAAAACTTTTGTCTTAAAAAGTAACATTTCATAAATTACTCGGATATATTATTTTCCTTTTCTAATTGATACGAGGCAAGGCCAGATAATTGGAGTTGAGGTACAGATCAGCCATGATCTTATAGAATTTCGGAACAGGTTCGAGGAGCTGAATGACCTGCTCCTGTTCCAATGTTTCAATGATGTGTTAAATGTATTTTGTTCAGCTCTAGATTTTGAATTCTATGATTTAGCAACTGTGGAAATAACATCATATGGCATTTAATGTAAAAGTAAACTGGACTGAAATTTCATAGTCTTCTCAATAAGCAAATCTGTTTTTGTTGTCCATTTTCTAATATTTGAAAGCAGTGATACTGCGTGCAATGTTATAGAAAGCTGAAGACATCTCTACATCAGACTTACGAATTTCAAAATGTATCTGAAGTTGTTCAGTTAACATGCATCACGGGGCTAACACATTTTGATTCCCCACCTCAATCTTCTCCCTTCCTCTCAAAGATGTTGACTCATGTTGGTGCAATTCCGAGGAGTCAGCAGCAGTCTGATATCTCATCCAGGCTTCATGTGTTTGGCAGGCTGTTCAACCGGGGAAGTGGCAGAGGTAAGCATTATAGCTCAGCTTGGCCACGTCCTCATCAAGTGCTCGTGTATGCTCAGTGATGAGATATGCCCTGGATTTTCCCTACCTACTTCAAGACCAATTGTGAGGGCTTAACCATTGCCCATCACCTGACAGGCAAATTGAAGCTAAGTGGCTCAGTACGAAAGCATGTGGTGCCTTTGCCCAACAATCCATTAGAGTCTCTCACTCAATCATGGATTACTGACTTCTGCAACAAGAGGAAAAAAGGAATACAATTTGGGATCAATATAATCCTACACATTTAATCCTTACTTAATGGAGGCAGTTGCTATTAAAACAGCAAGACGTAGCTCTCATTAGCTACCAGAGTATTAAAGCACTTTCTGCAATTAAATTATAGGATGTTACAGCACTGAAACTTGCCAATCAGCCCATCAAGTTAGTTCTGGTGATTTTATCCCCATATCTCTCCTCATACTTTTTAATTCTTCCCTTTCAAGCATCTAATTTACCTTTTTTTATAAAAAAGTACTATTTCAACAGTGATCTGTGGCAGAGAATTCCACCTTCTTTGTGAAACTCCCTTTTCTAAACTTCCCCATTAATTTTAAATTTTTTTGTGATTATCTTAAATTTGTGACCTCATTACAGACTCTAGTCAGTGGAAATAATTTATTACAGCATTATTAAATAACCGATTTAATTACTAATAATTTATTCACCCTTCAGAATCTTGAAGACTTCTCTCAAGTTGTACCTCAACTTTCTCAATTCCAATGAGAAATCTTTGATTGCTTTCAAAAAATTAGATCTAGACTTCGAAATATTGCAAAAGCTTTATAAATAGAATGCATTATTTGGGTCAGTGATATAATCTAGTTCCTAACAACTAAAGATGGTTGTCTGAGCTTGCTTCTCATGCATCATAAGGACTGTGCAATCTGAATATCAAACTATTTTTCTGTGGAATCTTCACTGTAAATAGTCAAAGAGGTGCATCATTAATCAGCACACAAAATATAAATCTGAAACGTTATTTAGGTTAGGTCTCCAGTGTTCATAAATAATGCCCACCAACAATCCATGTGATATTGCACATTTCGTGCTCGAGACATAGAAATCCAAATTGCAGAAATCAGCCGTAATGGACAATTGAGTTACTCTGCAGAACTGGCAATCATACATGTAAATGTATGTAAATATATGCAAAGGTATGTATCAATAAGCCATTTAGTTTTTCTACAAAAGGGATCAAGTAATAATAATTCTTGCATTTAATGTTTTGCCTTATCACATTGACAAAATGTCTCAAAGATCTCCAGATGATTTACTCTAAAACAGTGACTGCATTTGTGACTGCGAAAGTAGCAGTTTCAATGAAAATACCGTATAATATTTTGCTTAAGATTTCCTCTTTCAATTTTACACTTCTTTGATCCTTTATCTGATTAGCCAGGTGTCTGACATATGCAAAATAGGTATTGCAACATTAGCATTCTTAAAAAATAAATAATTTCTAAATTATTTTACAAATCTACTAAACTACTAAGAATATGATTGATGTCATCGTCACCACATACTAATACTGATGGCCTTTTGTGCTGAAATTTCTAGGAATTGCAACATAGAAGGCCATTTAACTAACTGAACTTATGCTCTTAGCTCCACTGCAGCTGACTACACTTCAGCGCCTTGGGACGTCCTCCCGACGTGAAAGAGGCTATACAAATGTAATTTTGTTGTTATAATTTGCCAATCTTTTCCCATAGCTTCATATTG